ATATATATATATATAGAAAGAACGTCTGTTTATCTATCCAAAGTAGGAGGCCAGACGATTGGAGCTACAGTCGTCCAACTTTGTAGGGCAAATAGTTTGGCGTTCGGGACCTGGGTGATACCTGGTTGATGGGGTTCTGGGAGTTGTTTTACTCCCCAAGCCCGGCCCGAGGCCAGGCTTGACTTGTGAGTTTGGTCCACCAGGCTGTTGCTGGGAGCGGCCCGCAGGCCCACATACCCACCACAGCCCGGTTGGTCCGGCACTCCTTGGAGGAAACAATCAATATTTCTCTTGAAGATGTCCACGGTTGTTCCGGCAATATTTCTCATGCTCGCTGGAGGACGTTGAACAACCGCGGACCTCTGATGTTTATACAGTGTTCTCTGATTGTGCCTATCGGTCATAGGTTAATTTGGGTCGGTTTAAGTGAAATGCTTTCAGAGATATTACCATTTATTGAGACCCCCCCCCTCACCCACCCCTAGTGATTTTCATGGGGTCAAGTATGACATATTTACTGTGCTCCTCTGCTGCACTTTTAAGTGAACGTAATAATATATTTTCCGAGACCTATTCAGCTGTTTCAGTGATTCTTAATAATAAATTTTCAGAGTGAAAGGGGAGAGAGGGAGGAAGAGGGGAGTGACGAAGAGGGAACCAAGGAGAAAAGTCCTCGGAGGCCCTGCACTCTCTCACAATGGTCAGCTCTTGTCACACACTCTGGCCCACACTTGATCTTCCTGCGGTTTAATAAAGGAGATCCCAACACTGGTCACTGTAACTGACAAAGTTCAACATTACCCATTATAACAAAGTTCAACACCGGCCACTGTATCAAAGTTGAACAATGGCCACTGTAAGTGGCAGTGTGGAGGGGGAGCCGGGTGTGTGAAGGGGGAGCCGGGTGTGTGGAGGGGGAGCCTGGTGTGTGGAGGGGGAGCCAGGTGTGTGGAGGGGGAGCCTGGTGTGTGGAGGGGGAGCCTGGTGTGTGGAGGGGGAGCCAGGTGTGTGGAGGGGGAGCCAGGTGTGTGGAGGGGGAGCCAGGTGTGTGGAGGGGGAGCCAGGTGTGTGGAGGGGGAGCCTGGTGTGTGGAGGGGGAGCCTGGTGTGTGGAGGGGGAGCCAGGTGTGTGGAGGGGGAGCCAGGTGTGTGGAGGGGGAGCCAGGTGTGTGGAGGGGGAGCCTGGTGTGTGGAGGGGGAGCCAGGTGTGTGGAGGGGGAGCCAGGTGTGTGGAGGGGGAGCCAGGTGTGTGGAGGGGGAGCCAGGTGTGTGGAGGGGGAGCCTGGTGTGTGGAGGGGGGGCCTGGTGTGTGGAGAGGGAGCCAGGTGTGTGGAGGGAGAGCCAGGTGTGTGGAGGGGGAGCCAGGTGTGTGGAGGGGGAGCCAGGTGTGTGGAGGGGGAGCCAGGTGTGTGGAGGGTGGTGTTGCAGGTCAAAACTGCCCCCATGGAGGGCATCAATGGTCACCTTTCCAAACAGTGTATTTGAGAAAAATCTCAGTATATAATAGTAAATCCAATACATTGAATATTACATATTCATACTTTTAAGAGCTTAAATCCTATCATATTTAGCGAGGGATCACTGTATGTGAGCAGCTCTGAGGGGATTTGTTATGGGATTACCTGTTTGTGGGACGGAACCCGTGGCGGCCATCTTCCTTTTGATCATTTACTGATTATATTTGATAGTTTTTCATTGATTTTTTACAATTACATTTAAGAAAATGTAATATTTCTGGTGTCTGATGAAGAATGTCTTATCATGCCTGTCGTGCAGGCTCGTGGTAGTGTGTGTGGCGTGGGGTTGTGTCTGTGCCTGGAGTAAGGGGGATGAGAAACATGAGTTTCTCATCCATTTTTACACATCTTTTGGTACCTTGAAAGTTGAAATTGCGGCTCGCAGCTGGACACATAAAATATATATTATATATCTGTTGGTGAATCAATTAGTGTTCTTGTTTCCTGGTTCCTCTGGTTTTCTTCTCGACAAAACTATTTATTTTCCTCTTTTGGTCCTGATCTACCCTGAAAATTCACTTGAGTATTTTGCATGTCGGGATCATGTCTCCCATGTTTCTTCTATATTCCAGTAACATAAGGATACGTTTAGTCAATATTGACACTTCCTCTGATTGTATGTAATTTAGACAATCGCAGCCACGAGTTTGAGTTAGTGAACAAATCCACAAGGGCCGTGATGAGGGTTCGAACCTACGTCCGAGAGGATCGTAGGTTCGAAGCTACACTACACCAAGCTTCTATGTAGCGTAGTGTAGTGTATTGAGCTGATGTGTCCTCGATTCCCCACTCCGTAAGAAATACAACTGTCCTGCCTGAACAGAAACATATGAACCTAAGCAACCCACCTAACCTATCGATGCCGATGCATAAAAAGTGATTTTAATGGATAATCCACAAGTACCTGTTCACCTCACCTGATATGTTAGATTAAGGACCTGCCCGTAACGCTATGCGTGTTAGGGGCTTGGCAAGAATGTACAAATATCACTATAATGTAATCTCACCAACCCGTTGTACCTTCTTGTAAATAAAATATTATTATTATAAAAAAAAATTATAAGGGAGTATCACCTCTGGCTGGAAGAAGGGGGACCCTTAGCCTCGGAGGAAATCACACATAACGCATTAGAGGGAATGTAGGTCCCCTCCAATACAGTTTCTGTGTGCTTTTTATTATATTATTATTATACAACTATGGATCATCCAATAAAATCAGCAGACTCTTACATGTTGCTACTGCTTGGCTTGGACTCGGTTATAAGCATCTCTAGAAATTTTCATTATCTGCTGATGTAGACCTGACAATATGTAAACCTTGTCAACAATATTATTCGCACACCCTCCGTCACTATGTGATGGAGTGCGACAAGTTAAATTAACTTAGAGAAAGCTTGATAACAAATGTTCAAGAAATGTGTAAATATTGTATTACAAATTATCAACTCTCAGAAATTTTAGCCAAATCTCCCCAGTTTGCGGTGGGTAGTAAATGTGGGTGATTGTAACCTTTCCACCGTCGCCCCCTGGATGTGGGGGCGGTGTGCAGGATAGGCTATCTTCTTGAGGTTATCTTGAGATGATTTCGGGGCTTTAGTGTCCCCGCGGCCCGGTCCTCGACCAGGCCTCCACCCCCCAGGAAGCAGCCCGTGACAGCTGACTAACACCCAGGTACCTATTTTACTGCTAGGTAACAGGGGCATAGGGTGAAAGAAACTCTGCCCATTGTTTCTCGCCGTCGCCCGGGATCGAACCCGGGACCACAGCATCACAAGTCCAGCGTGCTGTCCGCTCGGCTCCCCTGGTCGCAAATCATTTTATGAAACCAGCTCACCGCAAATGTAACTTGTTTAGTTATTAGAAACTGTACTTGTGGTCGTTCTCGAGCCCGTTGTTGATATATACTTTAAACTGTGTAACGAGTTTATCAAGACTAATTTGCTGAGCTAAATGAATTTTGGAGTTCAGTTCTTGAACCCATTATGTGCCTCTGTAAACTTTTCCCAATACCGCCCACAGGATGGGTATGGGGTCCACTACTACCCACAGGATGGGTATGGGGTCCACTACTACCCACAGGATGGGTATGGGGTCCACTACTACCCACAGGATGGGTATGGGGTCCACTACTACCCACAGGATGGGTATGGGGTCCACTACTACCCACAGGATGGGTATGGGGTCCACTACTACCCACAGGATGGGTATGGGGTCCACTACTACCCACAGGATGGGTATGGGGTCCACTACTACCCACAGGATGGGTATGGGGTCCACTACTACCCACAGGATGGGTATGGGGGTCCACTACCCCGCACAGGAAATCCAGGGATCCCATCACAATGGTTGTACTATTCAAATCACTTGTGCTATCCCATCTTGGTAGTGCTAACCAAGGGCGTCTTAAAATACCCATAGATCATAAAATCTTAAAATACCCATAGATCCAATACGTCTTAAAATATCCCAAATACCCTTAAAATACCTAATACCATAGTGCGAACCGAAATACCATAATTAGCACACTACAGTACAATGTCGGAGTATCTACTGCTCGATAATCACTTCCCCCTTCAGAGCAGGAGAAGTTGCTGAAATAGAGGAAATACAGAGAACATATATGGCACGCATAGACGCGATAAAGTGCATGGACCAAAGATAGTTACGCATAGACCAAGGGTAGTTAAGCATGGACCAAGGGTAGTTAAGCATGGACCAAGGGTAGTTAAGCATGGACAAAATAGTTATTGTTTTTGCATCACAACTAAGTCTCTCAAAATATTATTTGCCACATCTCAATCTTAAGAGGTAATACACTGTATACTGATGTTTCTATTTACCTTAACATCAAGAGCGTTAATGTAAATTATAAACAATTACAATACAGAACCCTGAGGCAACCTGCTAGTCACATTTTCTTACCTCCTATTTTCCCCATCAATGCTAGCTCTTCTTTCCTGTCTTTCAATGAAATTGTAATCCAGTATAGTCACTCTCCGCCAGTACTGTGAGTTTTTTTCTTTTTCTCATCAACTTCTTATATAGAGACAGTATTGTAAGTCCCTTTAAGGTCAGAATGACCCTCATATTTGTTGTCTACTGTATCAAATATTTTAGAATAGGAAGTTAATTTGTTAGACAAGTATGGCCTTGAGTGAAACCATGATAAGTAGATCTTATTGAAATATGTATCTGGAGATGATTTATTATATAATTTGCTATTATTTCCTCAAGAACGTTTCCCAATGTTGACGACATGCACATCAGACATATTGCAAACAAGATATCTATTCCCCCTCTTATGATTTGGTACCACATTAGCTACACTCTGAACAACAGGGACTTGGCCTGCCCTATTTAATAATTAAATACAATTGACAGACACTGTTTCCTCTGCGAGGCTACTGATAGCTGCAATATCAGCAAGGTTGTCATAGGTGGTGTCACTTGGGAACTAATAATGATGTTATTGTTGCAGAAGTGTGATGGTGAGGGGTTGGCCATGCTTGGTGCCCTGTGTCCTTGTGAGCTGCTGGTGCGTGCTCTCTACCGCCCTCCCGACCTCACACCCCCACCCAGGTCTGTGTCTCACCATCCTCAACCACCTCCATACCCTTCCATAACACCGTCTCAGGCCTCTTTGTCACCTCACCTGTTAGCACCATCATATTTCACACCATCACCAGTAATATTGTCACGCGCGACATCAAATTTTTCACTTTATTATTGTAATCCTGTAATGTCACTACTGTATTGTCACCAGCGGTCCTCTACCTTTCTGTGTTAAACACTGTCATCGTTACCGTGATGGACAACACTGTCGTCGTTACCGTGATGGACAACACTGTCATCGTTACCGTGTTGAACAACACCTGGTGGTGCTTCCACCTGTTGGTGGTCAGATGTAACTATGGAGTGTTCAACCTAGTTTCCAAGAGAATCGCCCAGTCACTCGGGCTGGATAGAGCGATGGTCTCGCTTCATGCAAGTTTGCATTCAATCCCCGACCGTCCAAGTGGCTTGGCACCGTTTCTTCACCCCCCCTCCCCGGACTCATCCCAAATCCTTATCCTGACCTCTTCCAAGGGCTGTAAGGTTTAATGACTTGGCGCTTTCCCCTGATAGTTCCTTCTTCCTTCCTTTCAAGAGAATCATTTGCGGAGTTCTTTGGCTTTCAGTGCTTTGCTTTCTTTGAACCTTGCAGTTAGTTATTTGTATTCCTTCACTTCCTTTCTGGATGTTTTCTTGGTGTGTGTGTTTGTAACAATTTCCTGCTCCATGTGTCTCTTTAAGGGAGGGGAAGGGACACGGTCCTTGGTGTGGTCCCCGGTAGGCCATACAAGACTCCTAAGGCTGATGTGACTCAGTAAAGGGGAGTCTTGGCAAGATAGCTTCAGGGAGCCACTGCTTGGTCACTCCAGAAAAGTCGTTTGCAAATAACTTATAATTTAGTTTTATACCATCTTACGCCCCTGTTGAGATTAGGTAAAAATAACTCATTTAATAATCTGGATTTATATTTTGCTGTTTTCTTGAAACTTTAGTGGTCTTAAGCTTTCAAACCAGTCCATTTGTAATCAATTTAGTTGTTGTTATATGTACTGAGATTTATGTGAACTTGAACTGTCATTGGCCCACAGATGAACCCGAGTACTTGGTGAAGCGTCAAGCAGGGGCGCCCAATGAGTCCATGCTGCGGTACATCTTGATGGCCATGTCTAACCCTGTAGGACGTTACCAGTCCCCGCAGCTCCTGAATCGAGGTGTCAGGAGGATTGGCTCAGAGTTCCTTGGCAAGAGATCCGCTGGAAAGCTCACGAACATAGACACATTGCAAGGCTTTGAGAGCGAAAACTCCAGCAATGATGACGAAGCCAAAAACGAAGAGCTAAAGAAGGAGCAGTTCAGCTACACTGGACAATATGACTACGAGACAGGTGCTGACGAGAACCCCAGCATCTATGAGGATTTATTAAGTGCGAAATCCAAAAGACGTGCTCGAAGTTTCAACGCAGATGGCAACCATGATGGATTGAAAGACTTTTTCAGCATGCTCATGTCAAAGAAAATGGGATCAGAATTTTTAGGAAAAAGAATGGGTTCAGAATTCTTAGGGAAGAGGGCAATGGGTTCAGAATTCCTAGGAAAGAGAGCTGTCGGTTCAGAATTCCTAGGAAAGAGAGCTATGGGTTCAGAATTCTTAGGAAAGAGAGCTATGGGTTCAGAATTCCTAGGAAAGAGAGCTGTGGGTTCAGAATTCCTAGGAAAGAGAGCTGTGGGTTCAGAATTCCTAGGAAAGAGAGTTGTGGGTTCAGAATTCCTAGGAAAGAGAGCTGTGGGTTCAGAATTCCTAGGAAAAAGAGCTGTGGGTTCAGAATTCCTAGGAAAGAGAGCTGTGGGTTCAGAATTCTTAGGGAAGAGGGCTAAAGCATCAGAATTTGAAAGGAAAAGAGCAATGGGTTCAGAATTCTTAGGTAAAAGAGCTATGGGATCAGAATTTTTAGGAAAAAGGGCTATGGGTTCAGAATTTCTTGGCAAAAGAGCAATGGGATCTGAATTTTTAGGAAAAAGGGCAATGGGCGCTGAATTCTTGGGAAAACGAGCAACAGGTTTAGAGTTTTTAAATGAGAGAGTAATGGGATCAGAGTTGCTAGGAAAGAGAGCCATGGGTTCAGAATTTCTAGGGAAAAGATATATGGGATCAGAATTCTCTGGAAAAAGGCATTATGAACCTGCATTCATGCATGCGTTAATATATGACCCAAAGAGAGCAGTAGGTTCAGAGTTCCTTGGCTGAAGAGATTTCTCGAGTACTAAGAGATTTTTCAAGGGTTGAAGAAGCGATTTCATTCCCAGTGACATTCAGATGGGGAAAGCAGTTATTTATGTTCACTGTAAACGATTCAATTTCCTTGATGCATTTTATTAAAGGAATTAAAGTTTGTCATGAATAATATAGCTTACTTACTCTATTACAGTTTACCAACAGTCCCTTTATTTCACAAAAGGTCTCCATGTTAGTTAGATCACTCGGCATACAGAGGAGGGGTGGCGAGTGATAACTATCTAACAACTGGGGAAGAATCAAAATCTCTAGCACATATTTTCTAAACACAACCTAAATCTATTGATTCCTGTAATAGTATAAGAACTGTAAACTATAATTACATACATTTCAGTAAAAAAGAAAGGAATGATAAAACAGTATATTACATGGAAATTTCTTTATAACCGAGATTGATATTTTTCATATTTTGATCTTCATGCTGTATTTTGTGAAATTCGAAAATGAGCAACATTTTTATTTCTGGGTATCTTATTCTGATTTAGAGTTTTAAACATTCCCATTGATAGCATAGCACTAAGAAGTAAAAAGCAGTGGTTGCTGAATTCCCATCTCTATGGACCCTCGACTCCCATCATCACGGACCCTCGACTCCCATTGCCACGGACCCTCGACTTCCATTGCCATGGACCCTCGACTCCCATTGTTACGGACCCCTGACTCATCGCCACAAACCCTCGACTCCCATTGCTACAGGCCCCTGACTCATCACCACGGACCCTCGACTCTCATCGCCATGTGCTGTCGTCATATCAAGCAATAACAAACATTTTGTTTTCATGTCTTGGATTTTTGTTATTGTTCAATAAATGGTATTTGTTGATAGTGGATTCTGAACCTTTAAATTAAAAATCTTTCAGTTCAAACTAGCAAGTTCGTTACATATAATTGTTATCACTGTTTATATAGCACTTCGATAATAACACAAATATTTATTAAACAAAAGCAAAATTACACATTAAACAGGCTAAAAATTCTAAAGTAGTAACCAAACATGTATTTCATGAATTTATAAAGATTATTAATCTGCTCATAAGACCAGCTTGATTATGACAATTGTGCATCGTTTGGACGGAAGACGCCCAGAAGAACCACATATTATGCCCTCTGAGGCAGCAATTTTGTGTCAAGTGGATGTTAGTATGACAATCCCAACAATGCATTTACAAATTGAATTAACAAGGAAAATATTCACTTTACAATATCTTTAGTAAAGTGATCAATATGTGGTACACTTTTGTGTTATTGAGCAAAGGTAATGCATCTTATTTGGAACCTTAAAGATATATTTGAAATGTTTACTGTTGATGGTGTTTTACTCTACCAAAGGGAATCATTACCATGCCAATATACTCTTACATTATATTTTGAAGACTTTTTTTTTAAGATGATTACATACATGAATAAGGTCTTGTAAGGTTAAGTACGTTTTGTTGGTTGCTGATTTAAAAAGTATCATTCTACATCAATTATCAAACATTTATTCAACAGGCAATTTCTATTCAAAATTGTATAGTTTTAATGGCTGTGTCTAGTGTCAACTACTCGAGCCCTACTACTACTACTCTCAAAAGCTCTATTATGTAATTCAGTTATTGATACCAAAAAATATATATGTAACTTCTTATCTAAAGGTGTGTTTTGCAGTCTAGCTGTCCTGTATTGTGTAATTATCTCTCAAGACTTCCGGGCAACTTGTCAAAAAAAAACTAGTTAATCTGGAAAAGTTTTCATAGTGGAGATCCAACCAGATAAATCTTGTATATATATATACACAACAATAAAAATTTCAAACAATTTGCATGTAAACTTTAAATTTCCAGCTAATATGAGCATGCAGTTTAAGCAGCATTCATATTTGCTTAAGAGTACAGTACAAAAATTGTACAAAGAAATCACATTAATGTGATGTATTAATGAGAAGATCAGTAGGAACCATGAGGAGAATTCAAACCTATGCTCAAGGTACTGTACTCCCAAGCACACGCCTTAGACCACTACACCACGACATGGTCTTTCTGATTTGTCTCGTTGATACATCACATTAATTTGATTTCTTTGTGCATTTGAAGAGAAGCATTGGAAGTGAGCTCCTACACCACAGCCAGTGCATGGGGGCAATGCATTAAAAACCTTGACTTAGCATCAGTTGAAGCCTCAGGACCTCTAGAGGATTCAGTCGAATCCCAGGTTGCAATGCTTTTAACCATGTCGTGGTGTAGTGGTCTAGGGTGTGTGCTTGGGAGAACCCAGAGCATAAGTTCAAATTTTCTTCATGGCTCCTACTGATTTTCTCAGTACAAACATTATCAATGTTAACTATAAAATGTATTTAATATTATAATAAAGTATCATGGTTAATGGAAAATAAAATGTCATATATAAAATTTTACAATGAAAATAATTAATAAAATCTGAATGGCCTAATATATAATGTAAAATAGATAATTATAAAAACAAGTATAAATAGTAGAAGAAAATTTTAATAAATGTACTGTAAAAAAAAAAGAGCAAAAATTTTGTTTAAACATTTGACATGCAACAGGTCATTTGAGGTTCTTATTTTGCAACTATGTATCTTCAGCATTGATTCTAACACTGGAGAGGAATATTTATCACTTGGCTAACTATTCGCTCTCACTTTAAAGAGATACTGTACCATTATACAGTTATATTTGACTAATGATGCTTGCTTCTCTAACTTGGCTTGGCTAGTGAAGGTGCAGTGTTTAACATTTCCCAATTTGCAATTCACTGGCAAAAGGACCCCAGTACCATCCTGGAGGACAGCAGACTCACCGTGTGTAGTGTAGAGTGGGAGTTGCAGACGAACCTCTATACCAGCTGGTCGACTCTCGTCTCATCAACCCCTTGATCACTTGGACCACCATCTCTCATGCAGCAGGTCACCAAAACTTTTTAAAAATGGATCTAAATTGTACAAACAAAGATATTAGCTCCCTTTGTAATTTACATACATAATCAGAACTGTGTGCCCTTTGCTATGTTGTGTCCTCACTCTGCTTTCCTTGTGACCATTTGTATCTTTATAGCTTTACTAGTGAAAGAACACGGCATTCACATCCATCTTAAGTTTCTAAAACAATATCTTAGCGAGAAAGTTCTACCGAAGTCCTTATTACCTGCCCATATAATCAGATTAGGTCATCAACAGTTCAATGATTTTTGTGCCACTATCTTGAAACAAAATATTGAAGTTACTGTACTAAATCAAGTGAACAGTCTACTTTAAAAAATTTGGGTAGCTGTAAAAGAAACTTTGATCACATTGTGCCATCTGATTGGAAAAGTTCTCTGATGGATGAAATCTACAGTTGCAACGGTTCAGTAAACTTTTTCAAATTACAGTGACTTACAAATAAAAACATAGAAACTACAGAATATTCTAAAATGCAAGTTAATAGGATTAAAAAAAACCAGTGATTGGTCAAAGAAAAATTAATTGTAAAAATTAATTAGTTATGCTAAAATTAATTATAAAATTAATCAGGTTTGATGTATGATAAACTAATCTCATTATTAGGATTAGATTTCTAATCCTAATAATGTGATAAGTTTATCACCAAACAAGTGAACATTGTGTTACTGCTTTGGGTTTTTCAAACTTTCTTAATGGGTCTCCAAAATTTTGTCCCCACTGTTAGGTACAGTACTCTTTTATGTTTGCATTTGAATAACTCCAATAATTTAAATAACAAATTAAACAATGTTTAAATTAATCCAGATGTAAAATCAATCAGTTTTGATGACTGCTCTTTATTTACAAAAGTTCCTGTTGGCATTCTTGATTATCTTGCTGATGAATCAAAACCTCAAAACCTTCCTAAGGGACTTATTGAAGCCAGCAGTAGTTTGTTTTGATGTGCTGATTTTCTAGTTGCTTTTCCCGGTGAGGTGGCATAAATAAATATCACTGCTCCCTGGGGTCTCTCTGAGTGGGGCAGGTTCTGGTGCTCGTCCCCGATAGGTCTACAGAACTCGGTGGCTGACGTGACTTAGTAAATGGTATTATCTAAGCATAGTAGCTTCAGGAAGCCACATGGGATTCACCCCAGAAAACACACATGTAACATATTCCTGAATAAAAATCTAAAAATATTTATGTAAAACAAGATACTGACATGAGAGTTACAGACTGTAACTCAAGATTGGCCACAGAGTAGGGAAACTTATCAAACCCATAACAAGCTGCCCCATATTCTCCAGTCATGCTAACAGCTATTACCGCCCCCATAAATTCTGAATAATATGAGGCAATTTTCCTTAGAGCTAATTCAGAAGCACTTTGAGGCGAGAGACCAGAACGCATCCATTCCACCGTCAATAAAGCTGGCATAAAGCGCATCATCACATCTCCATCACCAGTGGCTGCAGCTCCTCCTACATGCTTGTCAACATAAGCACCACTACCTGGTATTGGTGAATCACCAACTCTCCCAGGTATCTTGTGTGTGGCACCATTAGTTGATGTTCCACCTGCAATATGGCCATTCTTATCTATAGCTATCATTCCAATGGTGTCATGATTTTTCACATTAAAATTTGTGCCTTCTTTTGCTATAGACCACTTAAAACGTTTATATTTTGTATCTTCTGGATGATAAGGCCCACAGTATGTGTTAGGATCAGGCAATACATTTTTCCAGAAATTAGGTTGACATGATTCCTCTTTCCATTTTTCGTATATTTCAGTCGAAGAATTAGTTGTCAGGGTTTCTTCTTTGAAACCCATCATAAGAGCAAATTCTGTAGCTTGATCCCCAACGAGCATTGTATGAGTTGTATGCTCCATCACTTTCCGTGCAACCGAGATGGCACTCTTGACTCTTCGCAGTGCAGCAACTGCTCCCACATCATGTGTTGTTCTATGTGAAATAATAGAAAGTTATTTTAAATATAATTCCTCCGTGGATCACTTCAATGATAAATGTTTTAATATATGTACAACAATGAACAATTTAGATCTATTTTTCATGTACAGAATTATACCAATTGTATGTGTGGATGTGAGGCAAATTTTGTGTGTGGATATGAGGCAAATTTTGTGTGGATGTGAGGCAAATTTTGTGTGGCTGTGAGGCAAATTTTGTGTGGATGTGAGGCAAATTTTGTGTGGCTGTGAAGCAAATTTTGTGTGGATGTGAGGCAAATTTTGTGTGTGGATATGAGGCAAATTTTGTGTGGCTGTGAGGCAAATTTTGTGTGGATGTGAGGCAAATTTTGTGTGTGGATATGAGGCAAATTTTGTGTGGCTGTGAGGCAAATTTTTGTGTGGATGTGAGGCAAATTTCATGCAGATATGGTTCAAATTTTGTGTGTGGATGTGATCCAAATATTATGGGTAGATATGATTTAACTTTTATGTCTAAATGTGTTCCTGGAGACCTTGTGTAAAACTGAACTAATACTGTATAGATAAAATCCTTGGGGGAATATTTTAATACAGTACATTCCAAACCAATGAATTTTGATGCATAAAATAATTATATGTACTAATATATATAATTATTTTACAACAAGCTACCAGAAAATTATAAAATAATCTTTATATAAAATACAATGCACAGTAATACAACATAATAAACTGAGGAGGCTTAAGTCTAAATGGAATAGTAAGTACAGTATACTTACTTACTTTTACTTACTATAATATACAGTACTTACTTATAAATAAGTATAGTGACTTACTTATAACAGAAATGTGTCCAAGGACTGACTGCTCTCCTTGTGCCTACCAAAGTCATGAGTATCAAAATTCTAAGGATAAACTTTCCCTAACCTTAGTACAAAAACTCTTCAAACCTTCTTCATCAAAGTGAATACAGTACAGTATTCCTAAAATGAAACTTACAATATATTGAATTTAAAACATTTACCAAGAGAGGGAGCAGATAGATCCTATCCTTATCTCTTTGGAAAAAAGGGAAGCTTTTAACAAGCCACCAGCTTCCTGTCCCCATTAAAGCAACTAGAGATGGTGGCCTTCAGGTAAATATAAAACAGCATAAATACAGCACACACATGGCATTGAATAACCTAACCTAACACTAAGAGAAATCTCTCCTTTCCAAATCTCAGTCCCTTCCCACCAAAAATAATGTGTTGAATTTAATGAAATGCCCCATTCTGGGCTGCACTTTATCATGCTTAAATCAGCTTATGCCACTGACCCACGCAAGACTCGGTGAATACACCAGGCTTCCGTTAAGACTCTCGACACACTGAGTATAAGTACCTTGTTCCCACCGTGTGGTGGGGGATCTAATGGTGATCAAAGATCAACTCATTAACTAGAGGAACCACATGAAAAGCAAAGAAACTTCAAAACACAACCTTCCTCTTAGAAATGTTAAGAAACATTAATTGGCAAACAGTTCTCTGAACTTATGTACTTAATTCCCACAATTCTAACTACCCTTATCCCCAGCAGGTCCTCACAGTTGAGCCCCAATGCAATCTGGTCACAGGTAAATTGGGAAATTGGTGGAAATAGTGACCTACTAAGCCTTGATAGGAGGGTTTCCTAAATTTATACACGGGCCACCATCTCTAGTGGCCTCAATTTGACAGCAAGCTGTAATACCTCGTGTTCAGCCCTCAATGGGCCTCAGTGAAAGGTATTACCTCGAGTGTCATGTAATAATAATAATAATAATAATAATAATAATAATAATAATAATAATAATAATTCATTGTGTTGGGGGATAGGAAGCTAGAGTGTATTCATACACGTTTGGTTTCTATCAGCCCCCTACCCTACTAAGGCTGAATTACATACCCTGTCGAAGATGCAACCCCACAAAAAGCTGACTAACTCCTGAGTACCTACTCACTGCTAGGTAAACAGAGACATTAGGTGAAATGAAATGTGCCCAACCATTTCTGTCAAGCCTGGGATTCAAACTGGGAATTCTCGATTGTGCGTCGAGACCGAACCCGACTACTACCGTGACCCTATGCGGCATGCTCATTAAGGCATTACATTGAGTCACAATGAATAATGGGGAAGGATGGTGCCATGGAACCAAACCCAGAAAAGCCCGAACGGGAAGTCTGTGAAGTAAGGGGCGACAAAACAGTACAGGCAGAACTGGAGAAAACAGTAAATGCGTGGAGCCAAACCTTGCCCATGGGAAAGATAATACGGGAATTACTATCATGTGGAAAATCTCTCAGTAATTATGCACAGAAATCACAATAGCGTGATGTATCAAATGAACAAATCCACAAGGGCCGTGATGAGGATTCGAACCTATGTCCGAGAGCATCCCAAACGCTGCCTTAATCGACTGAGCTACAACATGGTAAAAGAATTGCAACCAGAAATTCAGTAGAATTTCTTCGCCCTTACTTCATTACACAAATGAAGTAAGGGCGAAGAGGTAGAACAGCTTATTGACATAGCTTGAGGTCATGGGGTAATTGTGTAAAGTCCTGGTTTGTGTCTCGGAGAGGCTGCAGGATCCAAGTAAATTCAGTAGAATTTCTGGTTGCAATTCTTTTACCATGTCGTAGCTCAGTCGATTAAGGCAGCGTTTGGGATGCTCTCGGACGTAGGTTTGAATCCTCATCACGGCCCTTGTGGATTTGCTCAATAATCTTAACTGCCTTGTTTGCATATGAGGAGTAACTGCAAAATCAACCAAACCAATAAATGTACTGTATTCATAAATATAGTTACACATTTATAATTTTCTTAATTGACAAAATTTCAAGTACTGTATGTACATTATATATTCCTACAAGAAAATAATAGTAATAGCTACAATGACCAAAGAAATTTCAAAACACCACCCCCCCCCCCTCCAAGAAATGTTGAAAATATTAATCACCAAACCAATCTCTGAACATTTGTACTTAATTCCCACAATTTCAACTACCTCAACCCCCTCACCTGGTAAACCTAGATTACAAAATTTCAACTATTTATTTGTACAAGAAAATAGTAGTGGCCTTACACTGATCATTATAATTACATCACAGTTATTTAACATACCCATCCATAATCATAGCATCCAAAGTGGTCTCTCCATTTTCATCAGGACTGCCCCCGAACCCCACTGATCCATCACACTGCAATTCTTCACATACTGTGCACCCACTCTCAACAGCATCTAGAGCTGATCCATTATTGTTGTTCACAATGTACCAAGCTGCAGAAATAAAAAGTCTCATATACTGATTAGATCAGTGTACAGATAATACGAGTAATCATCTGACAAATTGCGTTCTATTTTTTATTTTATTTTTTATTTGTGAAAACACTTATTTATTTGCATGGAGTGTTTGCACAGATTTAGTTTGACTCTGGGGATAGCAAAGAGATATTTATTTCTGGTGTGGTGCTCATGGATTCTATTATATCTGTCAAGGAAAAGTTTCAAATCAAGATTAGGATTTAGGAACAAGGTTTTGTACATGTAGAGAGCACATGAGAATGTGTGGAGTGAGTGTTTAGCATGTTAAGGGACTTAAACAGAGGGGCTGTGTGTTGTCTGAAGACAAAGTTTGTTATACTGTAGTTCTGACAGCAGATTTTTTCTGGGTGATGATGGGCTTGAGGTAATTTGCAGTGGTTTAACCCCATGCACAGATACCGTATGTAAGATAGGGATAGATCAGCTAACCACAAACAGATGGCAGTATCATAACCACAGCATTGTAAGCACTTTTTTATCAATGAGTGAGGTGGCATCATCAATCCAAATTCAACTTCAGATTGACAATGTTAACATTAGCAATAAACATGAGGGAAAGTTCTTTGGCTTATACATAGACAAGAAACTGAATTTCAGCACCCACATACAACACAGCCAAAAAAGTGTCTCAAAAATGGTCAGTATACTTTCAAAAATCAGATATTATAATAATAATAATAAATAATAAATAAATATTTATTCAGGTAAAAGTACATACATACAAGATGAGTTACAAACCAAATGTTGGATTTCTAGATAGAGCTAGTATATACTATGCCTAAAGCCACTAATACGCTCAGCATTTCGTGCAAGGTGTGGGAAAAACACTTAGACATTCTCATTGACTTGAGAATGGTCCAGGACGGACCGAAACGTCGTCGTCCCTTCACCTTCTAGTGTGTGGTCTGGTCAACATTCTTCAGCCACGTTATTGTGACTCATCGCCTGCACTTAGACTAAAACTTTAAACTAATTGAGATCAAAGCATAAATGGAATTGAAAAAAGGGGAAAAAAGAATGAAGATAATTATTTATTTATTTATTTATATACAAGGAGGTACATTGGGGGTTAACAGAGAATATAGAAATTAAAGTTGAATTTACATTCTTGTAAAGCCACTAGTACACAGCGTTTCGGGCAAATTATATGATGGATGGAACAGCAGAAGTTAAAAACAGAACAGCAGATATAATTTTAACTAAATAAACAGAAGACTATAATTTTCTACAAGTTTAAACATGGCTAAACAAGTTGGTCAATAATCAATATTGTTAGAAAATATCAAGACATGGGTTGACATTTAAGGGGGGTAAGGTAGGTTACATGGAGTTTATTACGTAGTACTTAGTTTTTATCCTAAACTGCTTGAGAGAGGTACAGCCTTTGACATGATTAGGAAGGTCATTCCACATTCTGGATCCCTTAATTTGTAGAGCATTTCTAGTTTGATTAGATCGCACTCTTGGAATATCAAATAGGTATTTGTTTCTGGTGTGGTGCCCATGGGTTCTGTTACAATTCTGTTCCCCACCTCTGCTCTCCTCTCATTATACTACTTAGTACTCATTATTAAACACAATACCTTCTTCAGTTGCATATGTGAAATTCCAGGTATTAATGACAATGGGAGAATATGGCGTGGCGAGGTATGGTGTGGCAGCAACTAGCAGGAGGAGGAGCGGCCTGGCCATCTTGCTGCTCCAGTAACTCCTCCTGTCTTATCTTGTCTCCCAGGACTTACATATGTGACCTATGAACACATTTCCCTAGACACCTGACACACATCCGGACTCTGACCCATGTTGTTGGCACCTGGGAACATATTTACTAGTATTATTCAGTATAAGCCACATATTAACCCCTCCAGGAGTTTATAGGACTTACGTCCAACGGCAAAAAAACAGGACTTGTCAAAGGACTTGCCCGAAACGCTATGCGGGCTATTGACTTTACATGAATGTAAGAACTCTTGTGTATATAAGTAAACAAATAAATATTTACAAGACTTAATTATCGTCGCTGTCGGCCGCCACTCCTTGTATTATTGCCAACATATCTTGAGAATTCCCAAGATGCCAAGGCCGTGGGGAAAAGTACCAAGGTGGAAATTTCCCCATATGGCCTTGGCATCTTGGGAACTGTATGAATGTAAAATAAAATAAAAATAAAATGTTTATTTAGGTAAGGTACATACATACAATAAATTTTTACAAAGAATGGTTGACTTATAGGTAGAGCTAGTACATACAATGCCTAAAGCCACTATTACGCAAAGCGTTTCGGGCATGATAAACTTAAATGACAAGCTTAATACTAATTGAGCATAATGAGTAGAATGAAAACAAGAAATGTAACACAGGAGTTCTGAGTTGTTGTTTACAGGTGCTGTGTTGTTGCTCACAGAGTTTTGTCGCCCCTAAATCAACACAACAGAGAGGTAGTTGTTGCGTGCGAGTGCGTGTGGCCCTCAGCAGGAGCCACTACCACCATCACCATGAGGTATGAGGGACACTTAGTTAACTTACTCATACACGTTATGTATGAGGGACACTTAGTTAATCAACTTAGTGTTGACGTGAGCGCTCACCCATAACACATATATCAAACTGGTGACTGTACTTAAGGGTCAATTTAAGTATGTTTTAGATTTTGATTTTTTATTCAGGTAAAGGTACATACATTGAGTTACATACATAATGTTGGAGTTAAAGATAGAGATAGTACATTCAATACCTGAAGACACTAGTACGCATAGCGTTTCGGGCAAACTGATTTAGTGTGATTATATAATTAGTTTTTATTATTATTATTATTATTATTTTCTACCACAGACGTAGCCACACATTAACAATGCTAACCATCATATTTACATTTTTTTCTGTCTTCCATGGACAGGGCGAGAGATTTGTCAAACATACAGTTCAGGGATTTATTAAACAATCAACCACAGAAGGTGACTGTAGTGCTTTTAAAATGCTAGGCTAAGCTACATACGTAAATACATAAATACACTGATTTACGTCTGCCCTACATAAAGTGTTCGATGTGACTTTTGCATAGTGTCATTAATGTGCATTTAAAAAGGTGAAATGGAATTCTGATCAGCTTCCAAATATAATAAATAATAAATAAATAAATAAATGTTTATTTAGGTAATTTTGTTTATTTTGGCAAGTCATTGATATATATAAGAAATAGAATAAGTCCTAGGATGCTCTCGTGAGGCACTCCTGTGGTTAATGGAAGAGTAGGGAAAGTTATGTCATTGATGACTACATATTGGTGTCTGTCACTAAGATATAAATGGGGACAAGGCAAATGGGGAGAACTTCGACAAGCCACTGGCTTCCTGTCCTTGCCGAGCCACTACTGCTATGCTCCCTTAGGTAAATCAGGTATAATTAAGTATACCGTACTTCAAAGCAAGGCCTAGGATTCCACAGTAATGAAGTTTAAGTAAGAGGTAATTATGATATACTGTACAGTTAAAAATTCACATTTCAAAATTCTTATTCAAAAGAATGTGTGTACTGTACAAAGAACATAAAGAGTAATGTACAATTGTGGGGGCCTGAGTTACATAAACTAATGAAGCCACTATTATGCAAGGCATTTTGGGCAAACTGCATCAAAGGCCTTCCTCAGGTCAATGAAGAGGCCAATTGGTCAACTGGGGATGTCCAACTTGGTGCCTTCTCAGGGTCTGGCTGGCCTTTCTCTACCTTGATCATCCCTGTTGCAACTGTGCCTCTGAGCCATTCCCCTACAAGGTTTGTAGGGGAATGTAAATGTAGGGGTTTGTAAATTTGCTCTGTACCTAGTGTTACCCAATCTCCTAATTTTTATGTAATATGAAACAACCTTATCATTGTGTTCATTGCTGTCTTCTTTTATGTGCTAGCCATATGCTGTATTGTGACTACCAATTTTTGTCAACTACCATTCAAGCTGTCACTGCAATCAATCTTATATTGTTTCTGCTCTATTGTGCCTACCAATTTGTTGTCAACTACCATTTTAAGCTGTCATTGCAATCAATCTTAGCTACCTATGTGCTTTAATATACTGTACCTACAATTTTCTCTCATTTTTTTTTTTTTCATTTCATGTAATCTGTTATCATTTTTTTGTCTATAAATTTTGCAAGTATTTACCTCCTTAAAATTTTCTTAGATTAAGGACCTGCCCGAAACGCTGCGCGTGCTAGTGGCTTTACAAGACTGTAATTACCATATTTGTATCCTCACATTCCTTATGTACATTCTTATATATGCATAAATAAATAAATAAATAAATAGGTGCTCCTATTGGGTCATGATTGCCTGAGGATGCATTCCCTTTTTTTCTGGTGGTCATCATGCCACCACTGGTAGGACCATGTGTTGACTGGCCCATTTTACCTGAGGTAGATTCTGTCATTTTTTCATAATTAGGTTTTTTCGGGGTTCGTTTTTGTGGCACCCTCCACTCTCGGCGTTCAGGCCAATCCCAGTTCCATTGGCTCTCGTTTGGGGCCTTTTCTCCAGCTTTAGCTGCACCAGTCAGCATTGATGGAATTTTTGCCTGGGGATTTCACCCTTTACTGTTTGGGAGTTGTGGTGGTTCAAGTCATCCATCTTTATTTATTTATTTATTTTATTTATGTACAAGAAGGTACATTGGGTTTATGAGAGTACAAAGCATTGATGTTTTTGAACATGTATCTGTAAACATTTTTTAATTTTGCTAGAAATTACCTTCTTAAAATTATATGTTAGATTAAGGATCTGCCCGAAATGCTATGCGTGCTAGTGGCTTTACAAGAATGTATAATTTCAAGTCTCTGTATTCTAATAAACCCAATGTACCTTCTTGTATATAAATAAATAAATAAATAAATAACATCTGACTGTGTTCTTGATAATGATCTGTGATTTTATTTCAGAAGAGTACAAATGCATATGCAAGCATGGCAGCATCTGTTACAGGGTTTCATCATGACACCATACACAAGGCTTCTAGTGAAAATGAACAGTCGAAGACACTGTCACAGCTTTCAGTCCACAAATGTCGGAGACAACAAATACACAAGTAAGAGACTTTTCTTAATTGTGTTTTAAATTTAGGTTGTGAAGTGTAATTATACTGTAGTTATTGTACATATACAAATGATTCAGTGTAATCATTGAATATATATACCCTGATGATTATTAATGGAAAAGAAATACAAATTGGCAAACTAACATTGCTTCTTCAAGCATTTTATTTGTTATTTGCCTTCCCTTCATATCTGAACTCAAAAATCTCACTAATACCCTTCGTCCTCTTGACATAAAGCTCGCCTTTAGACAAACTAACACTATTCATAGTAATCTGGTTCACACTACTGCTCCTGCTTCTAATGCTGCTGGTGTCTACTCTATTTCCTGTTCATCTTGTCCTCTCCAATGCTTTGAGGAAACTGGCAGTACACTACATGACAGACTTAAGGAACACAAATGATGTGTTAAGTCTGTAGATGCAAACAATGTTCTCTTCTGTCATGTTAGGAACTCTAATCATCCTATTGATTGGTCTTCTAAAATAATCTTTCCTGCTTCTACTCTTCACAGACACCGTCTTGTTGAATCAGCTCTGATACACAACCTACCTAACATGAACTTTAGTCCTGGCTTTGTTGCTGTTGACTCTTCCCTTTCACAGTACATACTCAAATGTTCTAAACTTTCTAACAAACATGACCTAACATAGGTCTACCACCCTTTTTCTTTCTTTTTCTTTTTTCGTTTTCTTTCTCTTATTCTTACCTGTCCCATTATTCCTTCACCAATTATTACACCCATCCCATTTGTACCTTTCTTCCTGTTTTTATCTTTTGCCTTACTCTTACTTTCTTCTAGATATTACCTTCTTCTCTTACCTGCTCCTCACATCACTCTTGCCTTACTTAATGTCCATGCCTCCCTCGCTCCCATCACAATCGATTTGACAAACAATGGTCCATGATGTTGTCCTAAACGTCGTCGTCTCTTCTCTTCTGGTGTGTGGTTTGGACATCAAATTGAAGATGTTGCATGCAAGTGCAGCTTAAGAACAGAAATATTCCCTAATTATTATATTATTATTATTATTACTGTATTCACACAGAAAATCATACTAATGTGATATAATGTATATCAATGAGAAAATCCACTAGGGCACTGAGGTGATGGGAACCTGCGTCACCTCAGGGAGGTAAGTAAAAAAAAAAATAATTAAACCCTAGGAATAGTCAAACAAACCTTTGACTTCAAGGAAAAGAAAGTGGTTATTCTACTATACAAATCTTTGGTGCAGTCCCCCAATTGGACTATTGTGTCCATGCTTGAAGACCTCGTCTTCAGAATGACACGTCTGTTTTGGAGAAAGTTTAACACAGTGACCAAATCATCCCAAAACTAAGTTGACTTGTACTAGGAATGGTTGAGGACCACAGGAATTGTACACGTACACAGGAGGGTGATCCTTCTGACTCCTTGGTGGCTGGCCCGGCCTTGGTGTCCAGTACTTCTCACCTGGTGTCCGAACCGAGGCATTTTTCCTTGGCAGTAGTTTACAGTATTTGCAGATTCTTTGAGGCTTTGTTTTCTGTGAACCCCTCAGTTGTCTGTAAAACTGTGCTGACTTTCTGGAGGCTTCCTCTGGTGAGGTGCTGGATTGTCCCCTGCTGTCTGTGCCTCGGTGAGGTGATGGGCCAGTCACTGGCCGTGGCTGATGTGATCTTTCAGTATGAAGCAATCTGTGGAAGATAGCTTCAAGGAGCCACTGGGGCTTCCCCAGAAATGGTGTTTTATTACATTCAATGCTGTGTTTATATCCCATATGACATAATAGCATTTTGTTTTTAAATTTAAGTCCATCAGATATCATCCATTGTTGTTTTAATAGCCTGTACAATATTGTATTGTAGAAACTATTTATTAATTTAACCCCTTAACTGCACGGCCTCCAAATATGACACCCCCCCCCCCCCCCAGTGTGCAGGAAATAAAATCTTTGGAAAAAATTCTTTTCTGTTTTGAAAGTGTCAAAAACTCTTTCCTGATTATGGGTATAGTAACAGGAGGTCGAAATTGTACGTACTTTGGCTACTATGGGGTCCGTAAGTTCGTGTGTGACGTCATCATTCCCTGGTTGCCTGTGGCGTACGCCCCTAGGACCGACCGGTAAGGCTCTTGGGGCAGGATGCACGAGTTGCAGCGAATATATTTTTGTTCATTTTCTACGCACAGTTCCAAATACATTTTATATGCTTTTACGTGCCAATCCTATGTATAATGAACATGTACACTATATTATGACAGTAGAACATCCGTATTGTCCGAAAACACTGTATTTCGTGCATGACACATGTGTACACATATCCGGCACATATTTCGATTATATCATGCTAATTTATGTATATATATATACAGTCTATTTACACACTATATACATTCACCATCAACACACTCAGAACTCCACGAGTGTCAGCCGCCACACCCTCACTCCTCCAACATCCAGTCTCTCCCTCACTCCTCCAACATCTTACTTGCCAACATTGCTCCTCCCACCATACTGTTATTGTTTGTATTACACTATTTACACATATTATGTATACCTATCTACATGTTTTATTCACCAGAACTATGCAAGTAAGCCGGTATTTTGTCCAAACTTTACAGTAGCCACCATACACTGCATGAGAAATCACACAGCAGCCAGAAGACGACACTACGATTACATCACCTCCCTCACCAACATAGCTCCTTCGAACATACTGTACTCCTGTTGCTGTTACTACACTATATACACACATTGTATATACCCATGTACAAATGTGCTCACCATAGCGAACCACTGAGCTAGTATGATGAGTAAAACAAGAGTGGCTGTCACACACAGTGAGGCTACCTCGATTCTCTCCCTCGCCACAATTCCTCCTCCCACAATACTACGCACATATGTACATGGGTATATACACACATTGTATATAACCATATACATATGTGTTCACCATAGCGAACCATTAAGCTAGTATGATGAGCAAAATAAGAGTGGCTGTTACACACAGGCTACCTCGATTCTCTCCCTCACCACAATTCCTCCCACAATACTATGCACAGTGCTTATTATCACCACAATCCTGCTGTTATCACAATACTGATCACTAAATCCTGTAAATACATAATTGACCACAAGTTTATTTTGTAAAGGAACCCAAGTCGTTTGAAGATTCCTAGATGGACGAAATAATGCTGTGGTGCTGTGGCTAGTGCTGTGAACATCGTGAACAGCATTGAATCACTAATATTTGAACATTGTACACAGTCATTATCACATTCAGGCTCTTCTGTAATACTATCATGGCTAAATAATACAAGTTATATATATTGTCTGGGGAAAGCCCATCAGCTCCCCGGAGCTATCCAGGCTGAATGGATATGTATAACTTTCTGGCCTCAGTCAATGCATGGAGTTCTTGCCTACTGGGGACCACGAGCCAGAACCTGGCCCCCTCTAGAGAGGCACAAGGAGCACTGGCCTATAGGGACCCCCCTTATGATTGGGAGCATTCTATGTCTGCCATCAACTGGGATAGGCACCCAGAAAGGTAGGCGCCCCAAAACAAACCCCTATTCTGGTAAACTATTGCGACCGAAGACCGAAGAAGTGAACAGAACTCCCCAAACGAAAATTATCAAACAAGCATGACGTCATCATGTCGCTGCGCTGCTGTCTGTGCAACCCCCCCCCCCCTCCCCGGGAGGGGTGTAATGATCTGGTGCTCAGTTCATAGCTCTTCACTCTCTCCTTCTCCCCTCTTCCTTTTCTCCCCTCTCCCTTGCCGTCATTCGTCTCTCCCCCTCCCTTTGGTCATCCCTCCCATTTGTCATAGTCCAACTTCGCTGGTCATATCCCTGAGTCATGTGAAGGGATACACATGACTCGGTTTTCTGGGGGAGCCTCATCGGCTCCCCCAGAAAACCAGCGTTGAATGTAATGAAATGCCATTTTCTGGCTGAGTCCCAGAGGCTCCCCGGCATCCCTCCCTCCCTCTGATAGGCGGTGTTTTTGCGTTTTTGACATCCAGCCTAAGAACTAACAGTTGGGTCGTTGGCGGTGGGGTTTGGGGCTTCCCCCCTTCTCCCTTCTGGGAGGCGTGGTTGCGCAGACAGCAGCACGGTGACATGATTACGTCATGCTTGTTTGCTAATTTTCGTTTGGGGAGTTCTGTCCACTTGTTCGGTCTTCGGTCGCAATAGTTTACCAGAATAATGGTTTGTTTTGGGGCGCCTACCTTTCTGGGTCCCTATCCCGGTCGATGGCAGACATAGAATGCTCCCAATCATAAGGGGGAGTCTCTATAGGCCATTACTCCTCGTGCCTCTCTAGAGGGGGCCAGGTTCTGGCTCGTGGTTCCCGGTAGGCAAGAACTCCATGCATTGACTGATACCAGAAAGTTATACATATCCATTCAGCTTGGATAGCTCCGGGGAGCCTCCGGGACTCACCCAGAAAATGGCGTTTTATTACATTCAATGCTAGTTTTTTTACGTTATTAGGCGATGCTGTGGTCACAAGCTGAACAGCAGTGCTGTGAGCTCATGCAGCATGTGCCGACCTTGGTTGCTCACTCAATACTGAGGCTCTCACACCCGGGAATGCGTACCACGATTTTTTTTAAAGATGGCATCTGTTTACAAGAGCCCTGAGGAAGCTGATGTGAACCCCAAGTAGCCGCGGGAGTTTTGAATGGAACGTGAAAAATACAAATACCCGGAGGTGCGTAGCACACACCAGACGTGGGCCTGCAGGCACGTTGCGCAGTTAAAGGGTTAATGAAACACACATTCTAACTTGCATTATATATTCAGTACAATATTTGGCTTCCACAAAAATTGTTTTAAAGCACATCAGAAATTTGAACTTATATTCAAGTACTGTATGATCATACATAATTTTTTTTTATGTTATGTGTAATATCCAATTCTTTAATTTTTTTATCTGCAGCACACGATGGTCCATTGTCTGGCATCAGAGTTATTGATTTGACAAGAATACTTGCTGGCCCATTTGCAACTATGGTTCTTGGTGATTTTGGTGCAGAAATTATTAAGGTATTAATGAGCTATGAAGAGATATAATGCTACCGATTAATATTTTTATGTCCTAATGATGTGTTTTACCCTCATCAGTAATTTACCGAAGACTTCCTGAAGACACTAATATGTGTCATTCGATTGATCTCAGGATTTCCTAAAAATTACATCCGTAACCACTCTATTTGCACTTTCATAAGGAAAGTTTTGAAATACATGAACAAAGTGTGGAGAGACCTTATTAGTGGACCAACCTAAGTATCGGGGGACGAACAGAAATCACCTAGACCAACCACCTCATTACTGAAGATGATATGATTGCTCTTCCCAGGCATACTTTCTTTTGTTCTACTCTGTAATTTTAGTTTAGTTTTTGTCGAAAAATAAATTAGTAATGTTGAAATGTTCATAAACGTGTATATGTATATTCAACATTGTCACACAATCTATTATCAATACCATATACCTTTTTTCTGTGGAGAGTCCCTTCGGCTTCCCGGGGTTTACTGGGTTGATATGCATGTATTAGACTATGACAACAGTCCTTCGAATGGAGTTCTAATGCCAACCGGAGACCACGAGCCAGAACCTGGCCCCCTCAGAGAGGCACAAGGCAACCCGTTCTCGCACTTGCTTACAGTCAATATTGGCTTATTTAATAAGTGCATATGTGACATACTAATTGATTGTGAATATTTTAGTTTACTTTGAAAAGCTTCATAGAAAACACCGACCTCACCTAACCTTCTTAGTATGTTAAGACAAGCATCTTATTGCTTCTTAATTACAATTATTACTTAACCTATACCGTTGATAGGTTAAGTAATAATTGTAAATAAGAAGCAATAAGATGCTTATCTTAACATACTAAGAAGGTTAGGTGAGGTCGGTGTTTTCTATGAAGCTTTTCAAGGTAAACTAAAATATTCACAATCAATTAGTATGTCACATATGCACTTATTAAGTAAGCCAATATTGACTATAAGCAAGTGCGAGAACGCATGAGGAGCAATGGCTTATAGAAACCTCCTTGTGGTTGGTAGCATTCTGTGTCTGCCATCGCCCAGATTAGGCACATTTGCAAAGGTTTTGACAATAAATTTATAGTTATAACCCCCAAAATAACTTACATAACTTAAGAAGAGTATAAACATTTTAAGCATTGCAGAGTGGGGCTCTGAGAATCCTGTTACATTTACAGTTGGGCAAGTGGCAGGGGGCCAGAATACTAGTGTTAATTAAGAAAATAGGGATACATATATTGACAAAATGGTCATTGCTTCTCTATCCCACCATGCTTGCTTGTGTTCTTCCATCCACCTCCAATTCCTCTGGTAATTTCTGAGAAATGGCTTTTTTATTTTTATATGTATGAGAGTTCTTATATTCTTGTACAGCCACTAGCACGCATACCATTTCAGGCAAGTCCTTAATCCTAATTTTCCCCAGAATACGACCCGCCAAATCGTTTAACAGCCAGGTACCATTTACTGCTGGGTGAACAGAGGTTACATTTAAGGATTGGCGCCCAGTCAATCCATCCTGGATTGGATATGAACACAGGCCAAAGCGCTCACGAAGCACCGGGCAAATGCTTTACCACTGTGCCACGTGGACTGCTTATAAACAGTAGAAAACTACCAACCAATCACCTTAATCTCATATCTGCAAGCTAATACATATATCTCAAATTTTTATTAGAGTAACATAGGTAGTGATGATCTGGCTACATCTGTTAGGGGTTCACATGTTAGCCTACCTCGAAAATTGGCTTGTTTGGACCCGCCAGCCAATCCACATGTCAATTGTCCAGGGATCTGGTTCTTTCCCATCTTGCCAGGTTCAGGTTCTTGTTGAACTGGCAGAAGTCCCAGTTGGTTCCTCCCGAAGTTTAGACTTGGATGGGCCTTGTTTGGAACTCTTGGTCAGCATCTCTGTCCTTGCCTCCTACAACCCTGCTCTACCTGTAGCATCATTGTTGACTAGTGTTAGATTGGCTTGTTCTGGGTGACTCAGCGCCCCCTCTTGTGTGGACACTGAGTTATAGAGTTGTGTGGGGAACCTGAACTTTGCCTGCATGGCATTTCCCCTTCCCCTGGGCAAGGTTTGACTCTGGGCGCTGTACTGCTTCCTCCAGTTTTGCCCACTTTGCCTCTGTTGGGGCCATCAGGTTCAAGCCCCTCCTGCCATTTGATGACTCTTGGTTCTCAAGATTCTACTTCAGGCTTTTTGGGGTTTGGATCCATTCATGTGGATTATCTCTATTTTGTCCCATCTCCACAGAGTGGACCATCAACAACACATCCTTCCACAGGCATTGTTAGACGCTGTCATCCCAAGGTGAACTTCGTGTAAGTATGAAACTGGCTTTTTCCCTACTACATGGCTCCATTACCTGCTTGCGAGGCTCTCATGGTGGATGACTTTTGGCTTGACTGATCAAGGAGGGGTTCATTTACCTCTTTGTCTCAGTTCAGTTGTTGCTCTGGGTGCTATCCAGTCTAGAGTCGTACTTTGGGAGGGTGGTTCTTCAGGCTCGTTGGTGCCAAGCTCGGCCATGTTTTCCAGCTTTTTTAGTCTCGTGTCTGAATGTGGAAATTTTCTCGCAGCTTCACCTCTCATCAGCAGATCAATCTGGTGACATACCTCGCTGGTTCACCCTTGTCCTTTGCTGTATGCATCTTGAAATTCTGATGCAGATTTATGGTCATTTGTATGGTGAGCAGGTGGGTGTGTTTTTGGTGTCCATCCTGCATTTAAGTTTGTAGCATCAGTATGAAGTTGCCTGGCTTTTGTTTTGCCTCTTACTCTCTCTCTCTCTCTCCATCGTTTTTCTTTGGTGTTCGTTTAGGTAGTCCTACCCTGTCCTTGTGGTTGCTTTTAGATCAGATTCTTATGCCTAATACTGTCCCATCATATCGTTTGGCATTGGCAAAGGCCCTGTTGCTTGCATTTGGTGTTTTTTGTTTGTTTGCAGGGATATTCCTGTGTGGGCCCCTAAGCCTCTGGCTGGCCCACTAAGTGTTGCTTGTTTCTGTTTTACTTTGGTGGAGTATGAGTATTTATGACTCGTATGTTCACTTCAGTAAGATTTTGCCCCATGTGTTTAACAACTTTTTCTGCTCTGTTGAATGTAAGTTGAAATCTTATTGGGTTTGTAACTCTGCACTGTGTTAGCTAATGTTCCAGTGGTCTGTCGGGCATTTCTCCAGTGCCATTTGGTGCTGACACGGCTGCAGCATCATTCCACAAGCTGTCTTGGTCATTCTTGCAACTCCAGCTGATTCATGATCCTGAGCCATCTTGGTCTCTTGACAGTGTCTTGGTGTTTCTGCACAAGTAAATAACTCCTTCTTGCAAATGTTTTGCAAGAAATGCAAAATAGCCCTGTTGGAAAGCAGAGGTGTAATAGGTACACAGAGAGAATTCTATCATCCATTAAGGACCCCACACACTCCCTCTACACATAAGGGGCATAACTAATTGACCTCTCATGGTGTTCAAGCAAGAACATGATAAACCCCTACTAAGGATGCCTGATCAACCAGGCTGTGATTCATATGTCAGGCTGCGAGCAGCTGTGTCCAACAGTCTGGTTGACCAGACCACCAACCATGAGGCCTGATCAGAGACCAGGCTGCAGGGACATTGAACCAACAAGAAGTAGGGCTCTACCAGAAAGAAGTGTTTCATTATATTCAATGTTGGTTTTATTGTTTTGGAAGGTTGATAATTATGTACAGATTGTGAAGTATAGAGAAAACCTTACATAGTGGCTCTACTGATAATTGAAAATACATCTTAAAGATAAAATATCTCTAGAAATGTCAATGTTATTAGACCAATGTTATCATGACCATATGTACAGCACAATACTAGACAATACTAGTACAGTATATTCTTTTTCAACCTGTATATTATGCTTGCTTTGAATTGCTTCTATGCTATATTAATATGTTTGTGGTTTTTGCTTGATTTTACTTAGGTGGAACGACCTGATAAAGGAGATGAAACTCGGAGTTGGGGTCCTCCTTTTCTAGGAACAGAGAGCTGTTACTTCCTTAGTGTGAACCGCAATAAGAAAAGTATTGCTGTTAATCTCAAACACCCAGAGGGAGTGTCTGTTATGCATGATCTAGCCAAATGTAGTGATGTATTAATAGAAAACTACATTCCTGGGGTGCTTGATCGTTTAGGATTAGGGTATGACAAACTTAAGGTAGTTGCACCTCATTTGGTATATTGTACCATATCTGGATATGGATCCTCTGGTCCATATCATAACAGACCTGGATATGATGTCATGGCAGCCTCTGTTGGTGGCCTCCTTGGGGTCACTGGACCAGAAGGAGGAGAACCATGTAAGGTTGGGGTCGCCATGACTGATTTAACAACTGGACTGTATGCTCATGGGGCAATAATGGCTGCATTACTTGATAGACAAAAAACTGGATGTGGACAGAAAGTTGACTGCAGTTTGCTGGCTACTCAAATATCGTGTATGGTGAACCTAGCATCCAACTTTTTGAATGGAGGAAAAGAGGCAAAGAAATGGGGAACTGCTCACGAGAGCATAGTACCATATCAGGCTTTTCCAACAAATGATGGGTGTCTTACTGTTGGTGCTTTGAGCAATAAGCAGTTTTCAGCTTTATGTCAAACGATTGGTCTAGAAAATCTTTTACAGGACGAGCGTTTTTCTACAAATGCTCTTAGAGTAACAAATCGAGTAGCACTTATCAGTGCACTCAGTCAAACTTTTCAGCAGAAATCAACAAAGGAATGGCTCGCCATTCTTGATGGCTGTTCTTTTCCTTATGCACCTATCAATTCAATATCCCAGGCCTTCTCTGATCCCCAAGTAATCCATGATCAGATGATACAGATAATTGAACATCCAAGTATAGGGGAAATAAAACAGGTAGCTCCAGCAGTGTCATTTAGTTCTTCTCTAAACAAAATCAGAACAGCCCCACCAGTTCTTGGGCAGCACACAAGATATGTACTTTTGGATATCCTCCAGTATTCAGTTGAAAAAGTTGAAGAACTTAAAAAACAAGGTGTAATATATGGTGCATAATATCTATTAATTTGGCTGCTATGTAATAAGTTGCTATTTAATCACACAATTAAATGAGGATTGCCTCAGCAAGCATATATATGAGATAATGAAAGAAACAAGAATAAATTGGCATAAGGGACAAACAGAAAGACAAAGAATAGGTTACAAGAATTGTTGTGGCAGCATTGAAGTGAGGAAAGTGAATCACACCACCATCTAGTGCTGCAGTGAAGCCCAAGGAAACAATCAGTGGCATAAAGGTTTACCTTCACTTGCCCCTCTTTAGTACTGCACTCTGATCACCATGGGTACCCCTTACTCTAATAGGCAAACCCCTCATTCACACAAAAGGTGGCGGCCCTTCCATTGTGCTGTTCAACGACTGCCTGTATGCTCCCACTCTTTCGTGATATGTGGGCTTGGTGTAGCTCCATGCTGATGTGCCTTTGCTGTCTGCATCCATCGTAACAGAGGAATTTTGGGCTTGCTTGTATTTGGCTTCATATATGTGGATTCTAGCCTTCATGGGGTTCCAATTTCAGTGGGTTTGCGAGGACATTGAGGCACTCATCTCCTGGCTTGGTACTCCTGTTTTGGAGTCTACTATGGCAGGATCAGCAGCTTTACTTCAGGAGGTAGTGGCCATATTCCACACTATGTGCTTTGCATGTCGACAGGCTGCTTTAACCCTGTCTTTAAAATCAGCTTCGGTCCCCTGGATCTCATGTCCACCTCCACTTTTTTGCCTCTCCACTTTCCAGAGGGTGTTGGTTTGTTTTTATCTCCTGCAGCTGTATCTTGTCAGCCAATTTTGGACTTGGTGCATTCTCGTGGTTTCTGGTCTCATTCCTGGAGGTGGTCGGGCAGAGCTGGGACGTTGCCTGCTATTAGTTAATCCCTAGGCTGCACACCTGTTAATAGCCGACATCCCCGTGGTGTACAAACAACATTGTTCTGAATTTGTTTTTTATTTTAGCATTGTTAATTAGCATCCAGGAAACACAAACATCCAAGTATAAAGTCTCTATCTCTTGTGGTTTAGCTGTAGTGGCCCAGAGAAGTTGCATTATAATCTAATCTAACTTCATCTCAGGGGATTGAAGAATTAAAATTTTGATACGTTAGATATGTTATTTTTTGAGCCTGTCAACTCGGTTAGAAATCTGGACATTTACTTTGATTTGTCATTGTTATTTGGTGGGCACATAAATCAGATTGTTAAATATTGCAATTTTTTCATTCGTAAGCTCTAGGAAATTTGAAAATTTATTCCTCATCCATTCATTTGTTTTCTCTAGAATTGATTTTTGTAATTTCTTATGGGTTTGCCAAACTATTTGTTAAATTGATTATAATGAATTGAGCAACTACACTTGTATTCTCACTTCATTTGGAGTTTAAACTAGTTCCTATTTGTTTGAGCTACATTGGCTCCCTGTAAAGGCAAGGATTGACTTTAAATACTGTGTTTATTGACATTGAACACTATTAAGTTAAAGGAACCCAAGTATTTGAATGATTTACAAATTCCTTTTACATCAGACTCTGGAATGCTGCAGATTGTCACGAATCCCTTCAGGTTGGTTGAGCCTCATGCTTCCTGCTCCCGTCGAGGCCACTAAAAATGGTAGCCCTCTGGTAAATTATATCGGTCATTGCTTATGTGGTGTGTGTGTGTGTTAAGACTCGAAACTCTGTTAAGAGTTTTAAGTCTCGGTAGAAGGCATACCCGGTAGCTCTTTTCTAGACCTTATGATCCTGATTATCATTCTGTATCTTTGGAATATAAAGTGTAGTATTTTTATATGGTATCATTTATTGCACAAAGTTCAGGCACATGGGAATTTGAGCACTACAAATTATTCTACTATTATCATGATAATATTAATAATCATTACAGTACTATTAATATTATGCGTATCCCATAAATTGTTCATTACAAATAATGATGATTATGATTACCTTGTAATGTGGATGTGTTATTGTATCATATAAACAGCTTAACTGGTACTGAAATGGTCATAAAGCAGGGTATTGATACAGTAATGCTCTAGTTATATCAAACCAACTCTTTATTGAAATCAATAAACATTTAATGCATTATATAATATTTGTATTTAAAAACAAGTCATAAAACATTACAACCATAAAGTAAATTTTCCAAATATCAAAGATGTGTGTTCTCAGCCTAAAATTAAATGCCAACTGCTTAGTGTATAAATAATCGTGCATTATTCCCTATGATAGTTTTTCCTATTCTTCCCCTCAATGTAATTACATGCACTAGTTCTTTTACATCTTTTTCTAATGTATAGGCTACATTAGTACAATAATATACCGGCTAATGGCTACAGCTTGGACAGAGGAGGAAGTATTCATATATATTTTGTAATTCTATATTTGAATGTGTTCTTGATGAATTAATGATTATATAGTCCCTCTTGTAAAATGTTATATAATGACTCCTCACATGGACAACATCTGCAACAATACAGTACAGTCATATCTGTTGGTTTCGTTTGAGTATTTATCAGAATGTGTGTATCCAACAATATTTTATGAACTCTACAAAGGCTTTTATATACATGGTGTGTGTTGTGTAGCCATGTTGATATGTATGCACTGCATGCTATATAACCATGTTGCTCTATGCACACTGCATGCTCTATAACTATGTTGCTCTTTGCACACTGCATGTTATCTAACCATGTTGCTCTTTGCACACTGCACTCTATATAACCATGTTGTTCTATGCACACTGCATGCTATATACCTGTATTGCTATGCACAAAAAAGGAATTAGAATAGCAGAACTACACCAAGGAACTGCATATGTGATTATTTTATTTAAAGATATCAACTTGAATCCAGGTTTCTTCCTAAAATAAGTGATAAGTGAAATGTAACACAAGAATATTTATGGTATAAAATACAGTATTATTTTTCTATCACAAAGGCCAGTTGACATTATCTACACTTACAATACACCTCTGATGACAAAATTATTGACATGAATTTTAGCAACTCTGAGAGAAATTGCCTGTTAAAAAAGTTACTACTGAACACAAAAAAATACTACACAATTTTTGGGGGCCTAATGTATAAACACAGGATGTAGTGAATACTTGAATTTATATAAAAAATATATGTTCAATATTTATATAAAATGTCAGATTATTTACTATACATGTGAAAATTAGTTAATAATTTGTGCCTAATATGTATAAATTCAAGAATTCACTAGTTCCTGCAAGTATAAATTATATAAATAAGCCTACCCACATATATGTAAAGACAGGAATATGATATTTTATCCCGTCCGACACCCTTATCAAGTCGTAACTTATATTTTCAGTATTCATAAAAAATATCATTTATCATTTAGGAGGATTTAAAATAATTTAAATCATTTAATTTAATTATTTATCATAATTAGTAAATACCTGTACCACATTATCTTACCACTATAAATCCATGCAATTTTCTACTAGGTCTCTCTTCATCTTGAATATGCCATAATTATATATAATAAGTGGTTGGAGAGAGACCTTGAGGGTTATGTTTGGTTGAAGGTGGTGGTAAGTTGGGTGTCTGTTGATATGATGATGGAGAATATCTTATGTCTGGATTTTCTGAAGGAGGATAAGATCTTTCTTGGTCCGTTGGTGAGAAGCCAGTGTTTTGTTTATATGGAGGAGGGTAGGCTCTTGCCGTTGGTGAAGAATATTGCCTTTCTTGGTGTGATTCAAAATCGGCATTCCTTGGAGCACGTATGACAGCGTTACCTTCTGCCAGGTTTACTCGTGGTAATGCTACTGGAGAGAGAGTGGTAAGTATTATACTGTGTTATATTTATTTTGTTTATACTGATAAATAAGTTGTCAGTTAAACTGAGTACATACTGTGTCTTAGCAATATGATAGATGCAAGGAAGATGTATTGAGTGGTAAATTAAATTTTACTTGAATTATGTTTTTAATAAATTATTTCAGTATTTCCTTGCAAGAGTTTATAGTATCGTTTTATGGAAGACTAAAGATGCATATGTAAAATGTTTCTGCATCTAAAATTATATTGTACACTGTACTAGGTTTTTAACTTCACGATGTACTAAATTAAGATGTCATGAAATGAATATACAGATATATATAAATTTTTTTACTTAATATTGTCTGTCCATTATACCCTGTTTAACCCTCAGTATGTGGTTATCATTATACTGCACTCTGATTCACTGGGAAATGAGGCATTGTCATCTGTTGAGTTAAACTATCATTGTCTAGGTTTTCCAAGTATGATGCTAATATGTATAGTGTATAATAGCTGTGTGGGGCTGTAATGGAGGTTACCTTGGCACATGAAAAAATCCTGCTATTGTTTCATGGTTACCTTACTATGTGATTGCGAGTATTGTTGCAAATCCAGTAAGTGTTATTGTATAAAATTCTATCGTAATTACATATGTGTACCAATTATGTTCAAATGGTTTTCACAACCCTATGATTGTAATGAAGTATACCAGGACAGCTAATCATTATTTGAACATACAGGCAATAATAAATGAACTACAGATAGTCTATTGAACCAAATGAGGCAACTCTTATTTATATCCATATAAATAGCAGCTACTTTGTATGGGCCAATACAAGATAACTCCTATTTATAATGATATAAATAGGAGCTCCCTCATATGGTATATTAGGCCTATTTAAGTTAGCCCCTATTTATATCGATATAAATATGAGCTGTCTCGAATGGGGCCATATGAGGCAGCTCCTATATATAAGGATATAAATAGGAGCAGCCTCATATGGGCATATGTATTTATATTGCTCCTAACATACATATAATCGATTGCTTAGACATCTAAGGATGATATATATGGCTTGGGACAAATTGTTTTGGCGACAGAGCTGTCGCGATGACAGATGAAGCAGGCGCCATGGGCTGCCACACGATGAAATTGTATATATATAACCATGTATACAGTATATATACATGGATGTAATGAAGTTTTCAACCACATGTTGAAAATGTACTGAAGTATATAAAACTTTACTGAAACATTGTCGAGTTACATATTGTAGGCCCTATGAACATTATCCATTACATAGTAATGCACTATCGCAGTTTTTGTGAATTATATGCTTATAAATCAAGTTATTTAACATTCATACTGTAGTAAATACATGAAAACAAGTGAAAAACAATAAAAAAACATCAAAGGTGAGCACTAGTCATATGTTATATACGGCAGTGTTAGCAGTAATTTCCGGGTAGACGAGACTCGACAGCCTTGGGAAGGCAGCTCGTCTAGGGGAAGGAAAACCCTGATCTCAAACCTCTGCTGCCTCGCTGCCATACCCACTTTTGGGATGCGCTTCAGGAGTCAACCTCGAGGAAAAATCCGGAGCTGGAGCCCCTAAGGCAGTTCGTTGTTGACTTCAACCTCGTTCTGGCAGCTCCTGTGATGGCGCTGGAACCAAACGTATTGGTGTTTGCCTTTCATTGGACAATTTCAGCAATGCAGAGATGGGGAGGAGAGACCTTCTGCATGGGTAACAGCTTCTCCATATGATCTACCCAGGCTTTGAGCCCTGGAGATGACACTCCAGCCTCGGCAACCGGATGCAACTCTATAGTCTTCCAAGACTGCAGCATGCCTACTTAGCAGTCGTTATTGGGTTTTGCCAGTTGCCTCCACACACACACACCACTGCGCAATCTTTCACAACTTGTCCAACCAGTAAAAATATACATATTTATGTTTTCAGTTTTTCTTACATTTTGCATACAAATGAATAATTCTATAAGGAAAAATATTTTTGGGGATTTTTATTTATTTTCTGGGGGGAGCCCCCATTGGCTCCCCGGAGCTATACAGGCTGATATGCTAATGTCAGACTTTGGCATCAGTCATGTGTATGGAGTTCTGTGGGCCTATTGGGAACCACGAGCTAGAACCTGGCCCCCTCAGAGAGGCAAGGGGAGCAATGGCCTATAGAAACCACCGTGTGGTTGGAAGCATTCTGTGTCTGCCATCGACTGGATTGGGAACCCAGAAAGGTAAGCGTCCCAAAACAAACCCTTATTCTGGTTAAAATTGCTACCTAAAGCCGAACTAGTGGATAGAACTCCCCAAAAAAGATACGAGCAAACTAGCATGATGTCACACATAACCGCGCCGCTGTCTGCACAGCTTCCCCCTCCTCGGGAGGGGGAAGGGGGAGCCTCAGACCCCCACGCCGGCAATCCGCACCTCAGTTCTTCGGCTGATGATAAAGGCACTGATTGTGTGCTCCAGCTCCAGTGGTTGTTTCAGCACTGTACCTAGAGTGTTGTGTCTGTTTTCTAGGTGGTGCGTGAGCTGGGAGTGAGTCTCCAGTACTCAGGCTGCCTGCACCTAGGGTTCCCTTCCCTAGGTGCCCTGTAAGTACTGCCCTTGAGGCTTGGGGTTACCTTCCACAAGTTCCTTGGGTCCTGCTTCTTCTAGGCCGTTTGCTGCTCGGTTTTCGGCCACCCTTTGTGTGATAGAGATTTCTGTCTCCCTTGTTCACCTTAGGGTAAGGGGCAGTTTGCACTGGTAGGGGCGCAGGGTACTGCACAGCTTGTTTTTACCAATCATAGTGGCCGGCTCTATTCCGCCTGGGTACGCTGTACTCTTGCAGGGTTTTCTTTTTCTTTTTGTTTGTCTACCTGGTGGGGGGTCTGCCTTTGGTTCTTTCCCCCTTTTGTCCTGAGTTCTCTTCCTTCTTCCGGTGGTTCCCCCTGCTAGGTCCCCATGAGTGTACATGTTCCAGGGGTTCAGTTCTTAGAAAGTTGTTTGGTAGACATGGGCACCGGTTACCAGTACCCTGCCTGGGATTACCTGAGCGCGAGTCCTTTTACAGTAAAAGCTCAGGACCCTGGGATACCCTTAGGGGAAGTGTGGGCCTGATGGATGTGGCCCCGAAGTCCCCCCCTCGCTTTGTGTGAGTTGTCGAGGGTTGCTTTGTCCCCTTGTCTCAAGGCAACTCTCTCGGTCTTGCCTCCGTCTGCTGCCTGTGGGGTCGGTGACACCTTCGGCCCCGAGTCCTGAGAGTTTTGTTGCTTGTTTGTGACTCGGTTACCCAGTCTTATGCTGACTATGTGGGTGCAGGCAGCACGAGCGTTGCACTTTGGATTTCGGTGGCAACGCGCTAGGTTGTTTGCTCCCCGGAAGCCTCAAGGCTGCCCCGTTTTGGTTGGTGGTCTTGTTGGGTCACCCGTCCCCCCTTGCATCCGGGTCCTTCCCGTCTGTGGGTTCAGGGTCAGGGCGGGGTTTCTATGGTTTTGAGACTCGGTTGGTCTCGGGGAATTCCCCTTCCGGGATAGTGACGGGGGCATTCGAGTCTGTTCCTCCAGCCGTGTTGTAAGAGTCTACCAGTGGGCTCCCTTCCTTTGTGCTTTTCATGGCTGCCCCAGTTTTTTCTTGAGGCTGGGGCTTTGAGGGGACAGCTCAGCCCTGGGGGCCTGCCGTGTGGGTTCCCGGAGCTGGGGAGGGGCCGACTTGGGGGGCCTCAGGCCCCGTTGGACCCCACTGGGGTTTTTTCTACCCTCTGGGCGGGGCTTGCGGTTGCAGGGAGTGTGGTTTTCCTTCCCCACACTCCACGCGAGTTGTTGGGCGTCGGCCCCTCCCCGGGCTTGGTTCCTTGTCCCTTAAGCCCTTTGGTTCTGTCCTGTTGGTGGGTGTTCTCCGGACACTGGTGTGCTTCTTGTCTTTTCTACGGCTTGTTTGGGCATTCAGTTCAACATGTTTTCCCCGTTACATGTGCCCCATGTATTCCTTGGCTTGTATTTCTCTACCTTGTCTTTTCCTCTGAGGCTTCTTCTGATCTTCTGTCTCCCGAGGACATGTTGGGACATGTCCGACAGCTTTTGGTGTTGGTCCGATCCCTTCATTCCCATTTGCTGCCTACATTCTTCGTTCCTCAGCTTCCTTTTGTCCTACATGTTGTGTGTTTTGTTTGTGCCTTTTGGCACCCTTCTTGCCAGGTTTCGATTCTGGTTCCTGGCCTGTTGGCGTTTTCGGAGTCTCGCGGTGGCCCTTCTTTGGAGTCTGTCGGGGTCTTGGTCTCCAACCTCCTGGTGGCTCGCTGGCGTTGGGATGTTTTTCGGTACGTCAGACGTTCCATCTCCTTTTTTGCCGGCTCGGGGTTCCGGCTCTGGCTGCTTGATGGTCTCACCCGGGGTCTTCCCGCGACTCCGCCTCTTCCTTGGCTCGTTTCGAGTCTCCCCTTCTGTTGGTGGTCAGGTGGCTTCGTTGCTGGTGTCCAACCTGCGTGCTTCTTCTTGGCGGTGGTGTAGGATTTTTTGGCGGTCTTTCCTTTTCCTTGTCCCTTCTTAGGTGGCTGTGTTTTTTGGCGTTGTCTTGTTCCTCTCTTGTGGGGGTTCGTGACCTTCATTTTGCCGCATACTGTCGCCTCATATCGTGCGGCGCTGGCGGAGCCGCTTTCGCTTGCTTTCGGTATTGATGTTACTTGTAAGCTGTTCCACAAGCTGTCTCGTGCTTTGTTTCACCTCCGGCCTGCTCATGCGCCGCCTGTGCCGTCCTGGTCTTTGGGCGGAGTGCTCTTTTCTTTCTTCTCCTCGGTTTATGGTGGCCCCTCCTGTTCTGGTTTTCTGCTCCTTCAGTTGGGGCGGTAGGTTTGTTCATCTCCAGCCGTCTCCTTCTTGTCTGGCAAAGATTGAGATTGCTGTTTTCTGGAGGGGTCCTTCGGTTTTTGTTGCATGGTTGTTTAGGCCGGGGGAGCATCGTGTTTTGTGGCCCGTGGCGGCTCTCCTCTGTTTTTTGCGTGCCTCGGCTTCCGTGTCCGTGGATGCATTTTGGGTTGCGCTGGTTTCCCTTCTTCCCTGTACGCAGGTGCGGGTTTCCCAGGTCGTCCGCAGGATTCTTACGGCTAGCCAGCCTGTGGTCTATTCCCGTGCTTGTGACGTTCGTATGTTCGCACTTGCCGCCGTTTTTGGCAACGTGGCCTGGTTTGACGTTTGGGCGCGGGGTTTTTGGTGGTCGGACAGAGTCCTGGCTGCTCGTGGTCTCGTACTCGTTCCTGGGCTTAGTTGGGCCTGTGTCGCCTTGGGTCGGCGGTTGCAGCCAGTTGTCTCAGGTTTGAGTTGCGGAGCGTGCAGCGACAGCCTCCCGGATGTGTCCCTCTACTTTCCTCTGTGGGTAGTTAGCTCTGGGGAGCTGACTGGGCTCTCCCCAGAAAACCAGCATTGAATGTAACGAAACGCCATTTTCTGGGTGTGACCCGGAGGCTCCCCAGCATCCCTCCCTCCCTCCGATTGGAGGTTTTCGCGTTTTCTTGACATCCAGCCTCAGAACTGGGGTGCGGATTGCCGGCATGGGGGTCTGAGGCTCCCCCTTCCCCCTCCCGAGGAGGGGGAAGCTGCACAGACAGCAGCGCGGTGACGTGTGACGTCATACTAGTTTGCCCGTATCATTTTGGGGAGTTCTATCCACTAGTTTGGCATTAGGTAGCAATTATAACCAGAATAGGGGTTTGTTTTGGGATGCTTACCTTTCTGGGTGCCTGATCCGGTTCATGGCAGACATTGAATGCTTCCAATTACACGGCGGGTTTCTATAGGCCATTGCTCCCCTTGCCTCTCTGAGGGGGCCAGGTTCTGGCTCGTGGTCCCCGATAAGCCCACAGAACTCCATACACATGACTGATGCCAAAGTCTGACATTAGCATATCGGCCTGTATAGTTCCGGGTCACACCCAGAAAATGGCGTTTCATTACATTCAACACTGTTTTTTTCCCATTGGGGAGAATGACCATATATCAATAGCCCCACATTGAGGGTTAATTCCTTTCCACATAATTTTAGGCTGTGTGGGCCTATAAAATCTATTCCACATTCCATAACTTAGCATTAATTCGCATTGAATTCCATTTACCATATGATGCTCCTTTACTAATTTTGTCTAGGTCATTTAGAAGGATATGACAATTGTCTAAGTCTTCTATCTTCCTTAGTAGCTTAGCATCATCAGCAAACATATTCATATAATTCTGTATTCCTTGTGGTAGATCATTTATGTAGATAATGAACATTACTGGTGCTAGAACCGAGTCATGTGGTACTCCACTTGTGGCACTCCTCTGGTTGGATACATTGCTTCTCATTATTGTCCTCATGTTTCTGGCAGTTTGAAAATTGTTTAGCAATGTCAGCAGTCTTCCTGTTACCTTCCCCTCCAGCATGTTCCAGTTTCCAAAACAACCTTTTGTGTGGGACTGTCAAAAGCATTTTTGTTTACTTAGGTCCAGATAAACAGTCAATCCAACCATCTCTCTCCTGTAGAATCTCTATGGCTCTATCATAAAAACCAAGTAGATTTTTTTTACACATGATCTTCTTGTTCAAAAACCATACTGTATATCTGTTATATCATTTCTCCCCAGGTATTCTACATACTTGGTTTTAACTGTTTTCCTAGTGTTTTAACTACCACACTTGCCAATGATTTGACAAGTGTGACAATGATTATAGACCATTATAAAATGGTCTATAATTTAGGTCTTCACTGCTACCATTTTTGTAGATTTCAATTATGCCTTTTTCACAATGTGAAAATATATACATGTGCTCTTGTAAAGGTCTGACAAGACCTAAGGTTGTTGTCAGACTGTTTGCCTGGTGTAAGGTGGACAGCAGTACCATTGAATTTCATGTCATGTCACATACCTGAGTTTGAATGTGTTTCTTTAAAGTCATGCTTAGGGCGTTAACTCAGAAATATCTGAAAGATTTGAAATACTTACCAAGATTTAGATCAGAGGGTCTAGAACTTATGTCCCAAACGGTATTATATTGAGCACCCGAATCATGATGTTGATACTCATTGTAACGTGATGTTCTAGGTCGAGATCTTGTTGAGGAGAATCTCCTCTGATCACGTCGTGGCTGTTGGTTGTGAAGAGTTCTCATGGAGCCAAATCGCAGAGGTAATGGGGCAGGTGCCACAGTTTCATCAGGTAGTTTTGTGTAGCCATCATTAGGAATGTATTCCTGCTGATTAGAATTTGAAATCTTCATATAATTAGCCAAAGGTTTAGGTACAGAAGCAGGATTGGAACGCATGCCTTCAATGTCATGTTGATCAGCGGGTCGAAAGGATGGGTTGAGGTAATTGAAGGGACGCAGCTCTGTGGGCGCTGATGGCTTCTTTGGCACTGGGGGCCTGAGAAAGAAGCATGAAATAAACATTTACCATATAATTTTATGACACAGTCAGTGCATATATATTTATGAAAATATTGTAAAATGTGTAATGCCATTTTTTCCTCTAGCTTGAGCTTCTTCACTACCTCAGAGGGTAATTGTGTAGTTTGTGATTTGCATGCATGCAGTAAAGGTCATGTTAAAGCTCATGAAGATAGCATATATATATATATATATATATGCATATGCATGCAAATCACATGTTTGCCGTGCTTGGCAGCCCATATACTACATACTTCTCTTTATCTGGAGGTTGAGTATACCATGGAGCTGTGGATTCTGAATGGCAACACTCATTTTACAGGATGACAGGGATTAGATGCAAGGATCAGTGTGGGTTCTGATTCAATTGGTTTGTCAGCCTAAGTATATGGACTGGAAACCCTACCTCAGTTTCTGGGGTGTCTGAACTGAGCCTGTGGGTTCCGTTTGACCCTTTGTGGTTCCTCATGCCTTCTGTGGTGAGCCTTTGTTTGCCAAGGGAGAGGTTTTCATATCCCCCCCTCCCTGTATGAGTTGGATTTGAGTGTGGCTTCCCCCAGGTTTCGCTTCAGTTACCTCTGGATATGCTGGGGATGTCCTTCTGGAGGTTTCCCCTTCAGAGGCTTGTGAGGTGTTTTTTACACAACTTCCTTCCTTCCTTTGCATTCCGATTGGCTTACGGAGGATGTTGGAGCACTTGGTAGTCCTCTTGCTGTGGGTTTGGCCTCAGCCATGGTATCATCAACAGCTCTCCTTAAGCTGTTTGCTCCCATTCTGCAGGATGCAGTAGCCACATTCTTTTCTGCATAGCTTGCATGTTGGCATGCTGTGCTGGCTTTTTCTCTCAATTCAGTCTGGGCCTCTCTCTCCGCTCCTCTTTCCAGAGGATACTGTGGCTCAGTTTTTGTCCTCTGCAACTACTTGTTGGCCTATTCAGCATCTTCTTTGAGATGGTCTGGGTGGGCAGAGGCTGTGCCTGGTACTTGTTGGGGTAGGCCATCCAGTGGCCGAGGAGCAAGTGCTTCCCTCGACTTCTTCTCTGACAAGACATTGTTTAATTGTACCTTGATAAAGGATGTATGCGTCATTCAAAAGTTTTATTTATATTGTACACTTACACATGTATTGGGTCTTTCTTATACCTTCATAAATCTTGGTGTCATCTGCAAATTTAATGATGTGGTTTGTAATATTTTCATCTGTGTTGTTTATGTATATGATAAAAAGGGTTGGCCCCAAAATGTTCCCTTGTAGTGCCCCAATCACTACATTTCTCCAGTCAGATTCATTCTGTGCAGGATGACCCTTTGCTGTCTTTGTTTTATCCATTGTTTTATGTATTCTAGTATTCTACCATTTATTCTATGTGCTTGTAATTTCCTTGCCAGTCTTTCATGTGGGACCTTATCAAAAACTGTGTACTACATCTACTGGAAGTCCTTTGTCTGAATAGTTGGTTGCCATTTTGACAAAATGTGAGCAGGTTTGTAAGGCAGGATTTATTTTTAACAAAATGTGTTGGTTTTACTAGTGTGTTCACTGTGAGATGGCGAATGATTCCCTCCCTTAGGATTCTCTTTATGAGTTGGCAGATATACGAGGTGAAGCTGGTCAGACGGTAGTTTTCTGCAGAGCTCTTTCTGCCTTTTATTTTTAAATAGGGGTGATATTTGCATATTTCCAATCTATGGGATCTATCCCATAGTTCAGAGATTTTGTGAAAAGGAGTTTCAGTGGTAGACAGTTCATCTACCAGTTCCTTTATGACTTTAGATTGAATTTTCCAACACCTGGGGGCTTTTGAATCTTTTAATTTGTCAGTGCTCTTCCTTATTATATTACACATTATGGGAGTATCCCTTAATTTTTTCTTTTCACCTGTTTCAATGATTTGTGTGGGTATTGGGATGTTGCCTAATGGCTAAGTAGCGCCACATTAGAAATAATGTGGCAGCCACTTAAATTATCCCCAAACTATTCCACATTTCAAGAAATTCTATTACAAGTATTTAGAGTTCCAAATAATCCCCCATAATTGCTAATGACACCTGCAATATTCGCTAACCATTAATGACATCTGGAGCAAATCCCCAAGGTTTCCACGAATCACTTAGGACAGCCAAAAGTAATCAGCAAGCTTACCATCGAGCCAAATGATTATCAGTCTATCAAATTAGGAAGCAAACTGGATCCAGCACAAGGTCAGGTGGATGCAGATATAACATGTTGAAGACATACCACAGTCAAATTCCAACTCTCACATCATATGCTACAAGCCTCGCTACAGAGCAGCCAACTAATCCTAGCTTTATATTCAAGTTTTCTGCTCTCGCCCTCACACAAGCTCTCCACATCCAGCCACCTTCAGCACCATATACTACCTGACTCTACCGAATGATGGCTCAGTACAGATGCTCGAGAGATCCCACAGATCTTCAACAACACATGTTTACGTATACGAGTTAACCCTTAAAGTGCGCATCACGTCATATGACGTGTTGGACGTTGTTCCAGTCAACTGCGCATCACGTCATATGACGTGTTGGAGTACTACGCAAGATTTAAACGGGCCGCGGATACACAGGGTTCACCACACCTTCATCAGGGCTCTTGTAAACAGACGCCATTTTAAAAAAAAATCGTGGGCCAAATTCCCGGGTGTTATTGGCCTCAGTATTGAGTGAGCAACCAAGCCTGACGCACGCAGCATGAGCTAACAGCACTGCTGTTCAGCTTGTGACCACAGCATCGCCTAAAAATGCCTAAATATACTTGTTCGTGCTATTATGTAGCGATGATATTACAGTATTACAGAAGACCCCTGACTGATAAAACTGACCAGGGTTCTGATAATAGCAGGATTGTGGTGATATTTAGCGCTGTGCGCCATGGAGGGAGGAGTAATGCTGTGGGAGGGAGGGTGGTGGCGATGTCTTCTGACTGTGTGTGGCCACCTTTTATTGACTGCACTCACCATACCAGCTTAGTGGTTCGCTGTGGTGAACACAAATGTAGATACTTATATATAACGTGTGTATAGAGGGTATAAGCAGGAAGAGAAGGTTGGGAGCCGCCATTTTGGTGAGGGCGGTGGCGTCGTCTGCACAACGCCACCGTGCAGACGACGGTGTTGTTTACTGGTTACCATGATGGTCTTTGGGCACCATACCAGTTTATTTGTACAAGTATGGTGAATAAAACAGGTAGATATTTATATGTAATGTGTGTATATAGCGTAATAACACCACACAGTATTGTTGGAGGAGAAATAATAGTGCGTCTGGCCTTGAGGGCGGCAGCCATCAGCTGACAGTGTGAGGTCCTACGTCTTTGTGCCTTTACTCACCATACAAGCTTAGATGTACAGTTATGGTGAACAAAACATGTAGATACTTATATATAATGTCTGTATATAGTGAATTATAGCAAAAACAGTATTGTGGGAGGAGAATGTGGGCGAGTCAGATGACTTGAGGGAGGGCGGGAGTGGCCGGCTGGTACACGGCGGTCACTCCTCATTACTTTTTGACTCATAATAGCTACTTAGTGGTTCGTTATAGTGAACAAAACATGCAGATACTTATATATAACCTGTGCTTATAGTGTAATAACCGACAAAGTATTTGTTCACTGATTGATGAACATAATTGAATCAACAATATGCACACCATATTTTTTAGTACAGCAATGATTCACTCATTTTATTATATAAATATATCAAACTACAAACTATTAAATAATATTACAGCAAAAAAACTATGAAAAATCAATCAGAGACATTGAAATAATTAGGTAATTATCTCTTTGTGGCAACTCCGGCCTGACAGCTTGCGAGCAACAGACCGCCTGGGACGCACACTGAGTCAGCGCCTATAATTTGCCAGACTTCCCCGCCCTATAGCGGGCAATATATGCCACTTACGATTTTTTTTACTATTTTTCCCGTGATCAGTGAACACAAATTAACAGGTTAGGAAGAAAATTTTTTTTTTTTTTCAAAATTACATGCGCCTGTGGGTAAGAAAGGATATTATACCCCTAGCATGTTAAGGGTTAACAACACGGGTATACAGGTAACAACACACAGTTTAGTGGTTTTTATGTTTATTTAATAGTCTTGGTTACAGCAGTCAGTTGTTTAATGCAGCAGCATCCAGAAAAGGCATGATGGCAACTGAGACAAGGCCTGGACAGGTGGCAGAGCTTGAGTGAGGCGGGGGTTAGAGAGCTTGGTTGCAGGATGAGAGCATAGAGCGTGGAGCTCAAAAGTGGGACAAGAGCTGAAAGCTCAGATATGGCCAGAATCTGGTTGTCTGCTCTGTAATGAGGTTGAAGCATCTTGCGAGAGTAGGAACTGGACTCGACGAGTGTTTCATTGTTACTGGTGAATGTCGATGGTGTTTGAAGATCTGTGGGATCTCTTGAGCATCTTTACTGAACCATCATTCAAGTTAGACTGATGACACTTCTGTTCTTGGAGCTTATATACAAGCTTCTCCTCTACCTTGTGTAGCTTACGGGGATCAACAGCCCTATGACCCGGTCTCTGATCATGTCTCCTGGTTGGTCGTCTGGTCAACCAGGTTGTTGGATGCGGCTGTGAGCAGCCTGAGGTATTAATCACAGCCTGGTTGATCAAGTGTAAGGATCAGGATCCTCACTTTGGCAAACCGACCAACATAGACAGAACACATGCCTATACACTTGGGAATAGATATCAATTGTAATACAGAGCACCACTTGGTTTCCGAACCCCCTTGGGGACGAGACCCGTCAGTTAACATGTAAGTTCGTAAACGAGAAATAGAGGGAAAAAATAAACTAGAAATGTAAAAAGAAATTGTTCAAAAAATTTATGAAAAAACTCTAGGGGAAAACATCGACAGGTTCATAGCGTAAATGCGACCGTATTTTGTTTGTACTCGCCAATAAGTGAAGTCCTGATCCGCCTTATAAAAGTCCTTAATTGTTCCAAGCTGATTAAGACGACTGGCAAACATCCTCTGGATGTTTCCTGCCAGCCTGCAGGCACATCCTGCCAGCCTGCCTGCAGGCACATCCTGCCAGCCTGCCTGCAGGCACATCCTGCCAGCAGGCACATCCTGCCAGCCTGCCTGCCTCCCTCCCTGCCATCATGCTAACGGATCGAGTGTGTTAGGCTTATCTTCGGGAGTGAGCCAGTCTCTCCCCCACCACCAACAACCCCCCCCCCCCTACATCCCATATTCTCTCCCAAAGATCACGCGGTTCAACCACGTGACTATCCCTCCCTCCCTGCTTGCCAGCCTGACTCCCTCGCTGCCTGCCTCCCTCTCTGCCTGTTAGCCTACCAGCCTGCCTGCCTGCCTGCCTGCCTTTCCCTCCCTCCCTAATTCTCACTACTTCCCTCCCTTCCTGCCTACCTCCTAGCATCTCACCCTCCCTCCCTTTCTGACTGATTCTCCCCCTCTCTCACTGATTCTCCCCCCTCTCTCATACTGCTTCCCACCTAAGCTCTCCCATCCATCCACCCACCAGTCAGCCATCACTGATGCAATGCGTGCATTTGGAGCTGACATGGTGCACAGATGTTTCTTGATTGTGCAAATATGTAAAACAAAAGCACAGAATGAACATTCCAGCCTTATGACAATTCAAAATAATAGGAATAATAGACCGTGAATCTGTGAAGTCACAGTGGGCAAACTGGACCATCTCCCACCTACCACCACAGGACGTCGTGACGCTTGGCGGACCCCTTCCCACCCGAACGAAGCATGACTCCCCAACCCCAATCAGGAAACTGGAAGTTTCGGATAACTAAAGTTCGGAAACCAAGTGGTGACCTGTATGCTCATATAGAATTAGTATAGAACTTCTTGGAAAATGGAGTTCTCAGGAATAAGTTAAGTAGAACTAAGAGGCATATCTAATTATCTATATTGCAACTAATGAAAGTTTAGAGCAATTATATTACCCTTAACATAATTGCTACAACCTCTCTGAAGTTTTCCATGCTGCTTCCATAATTTGCTCTTCTATTAACTCCCTTCAAGATGTATTTTGCAATTCCTCTCTCATTCCTTCAGTCTTCTCAAAGGTAGTCCAGAGTCATTATCCTGGACCTTTACATGGATTTGTATAATTGTAATCAGTCTTAGAATGTTGTGACCACATGAAGGGATGAGCGTTTCCCCTACATGTATTTGATCAATCATGCCCTTTTCTGATGTTAGCACAAGATCTAGAATACTATTACCTAGGGTGGGCTCTGTCACATGCTGTATGAGAAAGGTGCCTTGAACTAGGTAAAGAAATTGTTCTTCTGCTTATGATGTTAGATTCACCTATTCTATTGTCTCGTGGTTAAAGTTCCTCATTAAATGGGTTCAGGTTTTCTGCTGCCACATTAATTGCATGATTGCATTATATAGATCAATAACTTCCTCTGTTGATGCTGGGTTTGCCCATTAGCATAGTCCCACTATGAATTTGTTACCATTCTGGGATACTATGTCGCAACATACAGATTCTGAGGATTTCATAGTGTTGAATTCCTCCTATTGATTTTCTTATTTAATACCTCATTGGTGGTTGCATTCACGTCTCCTTTAACATATAGCATTACATCACCTGCTCTTGTTGTTTGTCCCTTCTGAATGGTGGATGATACCTTGGAAGATGGAATTTCCCTTCTGTTATGTCTTCTTGTCCCCCATGTTTCATCGATGCCAATAATGTCAGGATTCTCAGACTCAATTTATGCAAACAATACATTAAATTTATTTAGTAGACTTCTCACACAGGAAATCACAATAGTGTGATCCATCTTTGCAAAAATCATTGGACTGGATGGGAATCAAACCAGGGAGATGGATTTGATTCCTGTCCAATCATCCTGTTCCCGACCGGAACAGGAGCCGGTCGGCCGAGCGGACAGCACGCTGGACTTGTGATCCTGTGGTCCTGGGTTCGATCCTGGGCGCCGGCGAGAAACAATGGGCAGAGTTTCTTTCACCCTATACCCCTGTTACCTAGCAGTAAAATAGGTACCTGGGTGTTAGTCAGCTATCACAGGCTGCTTCCTGGGGGTGGAGGCCTGGTCGAGGACCGGGCCGCGGGGACACTAAAGCCCCGAAATCATCTCAAGATAACCTCAAGGAATCATGGGCCACCGCATGAGGTTGTGACCCATGATGTTGGTTCGATCCCCATCCTGCTCAAATGATTTAGGCTTCTTATGTGCAGAAGCAATTTAAACTCTTGACAGTGTTCCTATGAGGCTGAGAGATTGCTACATACTGAGAGATTCAATATTGCAATATTAAGAGGTTTTTCTATCGTTGCCTCAGTGATTTGCTGATCATTCTTACTCTCATCTTTCCAAAGTTTCAGTTTTGTTATATTAACACTATAACTTTGTTAAAACAAATGCAAATTGTCAAAGCTCATAAAACACCTATTTAAAATGCCACCAATTTATTTTTTATTATCTAAATTTTGTTTGATACATCTAGAAGAATGTTCTTGAAACTTGGCTACATGTTTCCCTTTCCATCTGTACCTCATAATTCACTTTTACTCTTTACTATGGTTTTGTATTATTTCTAGTTTGATAAAGCTATTTCTCAGACAATCTTCTCCATCCTTTAATAATCTGTAATAACATTTACTCTCAGGCTCAACCACGAGATGCTTACCGCTCTTGGGTCCGTGGGGCTTGATGAATCTCCACGTAAGCATCATTAGATATTCCTGGAGCAAATGATTGCTGGTGCTGCTGTCTCTGCCACTCTCTGGCTTGTTGTTCTCTCATCTCTGCCCGTGCTGCTGCGTCTGCACGTGCTGCTGCTTCGGCCACTTCCAAGGCTGTCTTCTTGTTTTGCTTCTGTCAAGTAACACGTTCAGATTAGCTTAAGTGTCACAGTTAGGAAAATTCATTTTTACTTCATGTATGTCAAAATAAGATGGGGCAGGTGCTGCATCTTATTCTGACAAATTAAACTGAATCTTAAATTCAGTTTAATTCTTTTGTATACAACTTATTGCATAGAACTTAATGAAGTGACAATTCTGGATATTTAATTTTTATAATTATTCACTTTGTTCTTTAACTTGTTTTATTTGCAAGAAGTTTCACTCTGAAGAGAAATAATCACAATATTTATATTATACAATTATTTTGCTGCTGATAGCAAAAGCCAAATCAATAATTAAAGTTGAGAGAGAGAGTTAGGTAAAGATATCCTAAGAGAAAATTCATGGTCAGCTTAATTAAGTAGAGGCAGTTACTAAAGGATTGGAAAAGTACAAAGAGGAAATAAAAGAAACATATGCCAAGTTGTAAAAAACAAACAATCAAAAAAAGTATGTTTGAAAGTCAAAACAAAAATGAGCAAGAATCAGACATTAGGCAAGGAAATAACTATTATTTGCCTAATGAACTATTTTCAACAGTATTTTTGTGCAAAAAAAACTGATAGCAGCAAGTCCATTAAAAAAAAAATATCATCTAGGAGAGAATAAATAATTGAGAAAATAGTAGCTGTAGGAGAAGGCCTCAACAAAAGACAATGTCAGTGATTTTAGAAGCAGCAGCAAATATGGAAAAGACAAGAATTGCCCCTTAAGGGTGACAGTTAATAGTGAAACAAATGACAGACATGCTTAGGAATACTAAGAAATTACAAAATGGTGAGGATGGGAAACCTTGGTCATTAAGGCAAGGCATTTCAAAGATAGTCAGGAGTTAAAACTAAATCTCGTTGAAGCAATACTGTACGTCTTATGATGGGTAGGAATGGGAAAGAAATAGTCTTTTCTACAAGGTGATAGGGACCAGAAGACCCGTAAAATGGTACATAAAAGCAAAGCAACAAAATCATCAGTAGAAGGGGAAGTAAAGGAGAAAGGGAGTGGGAACATATTCCTGATAATCGTATATACTAATGTAGATGGACCGAGATAAATAATACTGGAGCTAAATTATATAATACAGCTAAATTTGAGAGATTATCGCACTAACTTGGAAAAAATATTTTACATGAGATAATATTCCAGAGAGGACTACTTAATTTGGAGATGGGACACAAATTAGGAGAGGTGGAGAAGTTGTCGTGAATGAGGGAAAAAACACCTGAAGGTAAGAGAATTAATAATAGACATCCCCACAAGTAGTCTGTTTGAAAAAGGCTAATGTTTTCTACCAATGTTTAAGATATATGTAAGACCAGAGTCACTGAACTACTGTACATACAAGTATCAATAAGCCTATACCCTGCAGGTTAATTAAGATTATTCAGATTTGGCTAATAGAAATATAATTTTGTATCCAAATACTGGCATAAATTCAGCAAAGGGAAATCCTACTTAAAATATACATTAGAGTTCTACAATAAGATGAGAGAGAGAAGAGGAGGGGAGGGGGGGGGGTGGATTAGGCAGCCGGCATTCCCTCTGACTGGATAAAAATTTTGTGTATCCAGGCTACCTGGTTGACACCTGGTTGATGGGGTTCTGAGAGTTCTTCTACTCCCCAAGCCCGGCCCGAGGCCAGGCTTGACTTGTGAGAGTTTGGTCCACTAGGCTGTTACTTGGAGCGGCCCGCAGGCCCACATACCCACCACAGCCCGGTTGGTCCGGCACTCCTTGGAGGAATAAATCTAGTTTCCTCTTGAAAATGTCCACGGTTGTTCCGGCAATATTTCTTATGCTTGCTGGGAGGGTGTTGAACAACCGTGGACCTCTGATGTTTATACAGTGTTCTCCGATTATGCCTATGGCACCCCTGCTCTTAACTGGTTCTATTCTGCATTTTCTTCCATATCGTTCACTCCAGTACGTTGTTATTTTACTGTGTAGATTTGGTACTTGGCCCTCCAGTATCTTCCAGGTGTATATTATTTGATATCTCTCTTGTCTTCTTTCTAGTGAGTACATTTGGAGGGCTTTGAGACGATTCCAATAATTTAGGTGCTTTATCGTATCTATGCGTGCCGTATATGTTCTCTGTATTCCCTCTATTTCAGCAATCTCTCCTGCTCTGAAGGAGAAAGTGAGTACTGAGCAGTACTCAAGTCGGGACAACACAAGTGACTTGAAGAGTACATCCATTGTGATGGGATCCCTGGATTTGAAAGTTCTCGTAATCCATCCGATCATTTTTTGGCTGTCGCAATATTTGCTTGGTTATGCTCCATAAACGTTAGGTCGTCAGACATTATTATTCCCAAATTCTTTACATGCTGTTTTCCTACTATGGGCACATTTGATTGTGTTTTTTACCCTGTATTATGTTTAAGGTCCTCATTTATACCGTACCTGAGTACCTGGAATTTATCACTGTTAATCATGTTATTTTCTGATGCCCAGTCAAAAACTTTATTAATATCAGCTTGAAGTTTTTCAATGTCTTCAGCTGAGATAATTTTCATACTGATTTTTGTGTCATCTGCAAAGGATGATACGAAGCTGTGACTTGTATTTTTGTCTATATCTGATATGAGAATAAGGAAAAGCAGCGTTGCAAGGACTGTACCCTGAGGTACAGAGCTTTTAACTGCACTTGGACTAGATGTTATAGTCCAAGTGTGTAGGCTGATGCCTACACACACTTACACACACACAGGCTGGTGTGTGCGTGTAAGAGTGACATGCTGGAAAAGTACCTCTCAGGAAGGAAACAAAGGACTACTATTAGAAGGGAGATTTGAGTGGAAGGCCTGAACTGTTTGCCTCTGTTGATCCACCAGTAATTATTGGGGACCTGGTTGTAAACCAATTAGCAAATTTTGTTATGTGGAAAAGAAGCGTGGGTATGACTTCAAATGAGTATTCTGCTCCTGTATCCAGTATTATAAAAATAGGTGCTGGAAAATTTAAAGAATCTTTTGAGCAAATTTTTAATTTTATTCTAACAATGAACAAATATTTATATGTAAAATCCTGTCAATACACAGAATTTCCGAAAATGATAACCAAATTGAGATCTTGTGTATGGAACCAGACTAACCTTCGCCAGACGAGCTTGTTTGGTCCTCTTGTGGTAAGACTTGCAGAAGGCATTGAGGCTATTGCCAAATTCCTCTATGTTCACGAACCAGAAAAATAACAATCGGATATACATGACCAGTATCCAGCCTGCTGCAGATTTATAGGCCTTTCCTTTTGATAAGTCCTGTAGAGTGCAAACAAAATAAAAGATTTTCACAAGAGTTGTCTGTGAATGTGTTCATGAAGCTATTAATAGATATAACATATGAAATCAGCAACCAAACAATGCAATTTTTACAGTCTTATAATTTCCTAATAAGGGTATATTAACATTTTGGTTATGTTGTGTTTTTGCTGGGAAGTCTTCATTATCAATAACAAAAGAAGATTGTTAGTGGGTACGAACTATGATATCCTGGATGTAGAAGACAGTGATGGTGAGGTCCATGACGATGATGGTGAGGGTAACTAGGAGCCAAGGGATGTAGTAACCCCACAGTTTCCTGGCATTGCCTGCAACGTTGGGTATGGTTATTACATCTGCTGGAGCTGCTCAACGCCAGGAAGGACATGTGGGGTATGGACAATGGTGGGATGATGGATGAGTTGCTATTGTGGATAAGTGGCATGTTGAATGGTGGATTAGTTTGGTTGCCGGTGAGTGGGCTGGTGGATCAGTGGGATAGTGGATTAGTTGTTAGAAGGATCAGTAAGATGGTGGATTTGTAATTACTTAAGTGTAGTTACAGGATGAGAGCTACGCTCGTGGTGTTCCGTCTTCCCAGTACTCTTTGTCGTATAACACTTTGAAACTACTGATGGTTTTGGCCTCCACCACCTTCTTACTTAGCTTGTTCCAACTGTCTACCACTCTGTTTGCAAAAGAAAACTTTCTAATGTTTTTGCAGCACCTTTGTTTCCTTAGCTTGAATCAGTGTCCTCTTGTTCTTGATGTTGCTGGTTTCAGGAATGCCTCATCAATTTGGTTGATTCCTGTTTTATTTTGTATGCAGTGATCATATCACCTCTTTTTTCTTCTATCTTCTAGTTTTGGCATGTTTAATGTCTGTAGTCTCTCCTCGTAACTCCTTGTTTTTCAGTTCTGGAATCCATTTTGTAGCATACCGCTGCACCTTTTCCAGTTTCTTTATGTGCTTCTTGCGATTTGGGCATCATACAACTGCTGCATATTCCAGTTTTGGTCTCACAAAAGTTATGAACAGTTTCTTTCATATCTCACTATCCATATAATCAAAAGCAAGTCTGAAGTTGGAAAGCGACCCATATGTTCCTCTCACAATGTTCTTTATGTGTTCCTCTGCGGACAGCTTACTATCCAAAACCACCCCTAGGTTTCATTCTTTATTAGAGTTCTGTAATTCCATTCCACATAATTTGAGTGTGTGTGTGTGTGTGTGTGTGTGTGTGATAAGAAAGATGGCTGCTGTGTGTGGGTGTGGGGGGTGTGGTATGAAGGATGGCTGCTGTATGTGTGGGGGTGGGTGTGTTATAAGAAAGATGGCTGCTGTGTGTGGGGGTGGGTATGTGATAAGAAAGATGGCTGCTGTGTGTGGGGGTGGGTATGTGATAAGAAAGATGGCTGCTGTGTGTGGGGGTTGGTGTGTGGTAAGAGGGATGGCTATTATGTGAGTGAGTTCATGAATATGTATAGGTTCATGTGTGGGAGGTGGACAAAAAGATAAATACACATTATACGAGCCCATAAATTATTATCCTAAATAATACATGATAACTGGACATAAGAGCATGTCATATCTTAAATTAAAATTAAATACAACAATAATTTCATAATTATCCCTAATGTAGGTTGATTTATATAATTCTGGTCTCTCAAGGCCAGAATGGCATGATGCCACTACCTTACCATAGATCATGATGAAAGCTGCAATGAGCCATAGTGAGTGGAGGCTCAAGTAGGCAATCTGGTAGGTTTGGTTATCTTGTACAGTTGTATGGGATCTCGACGCTATAGGGTAAGAAGAGATCCACCACGGGGCTGTGTAGTTATAGCGTGATTTGCATGACTTCTCGTCTGTGTGGATATAAGATGAGAAGTAACTTATAACATGGGTAGATTATGGTCTATCACATGGTTTTCTGATCCCTAGAAAATTTGCTCTAGAACTGGACCACAACGGTCTCCAAACAAACCGATTTGCATGTGTTTGAGGCAGTTAAATATTTACTAATCGTGCACCTCACACCCATCCAGTGGATGGCAGTTGGTAGTTTACAGTCATGTGCATGCACTACCTACAGTCAACTTGGGATATCTGGTCAGGATTTCTGCTATTACAACATTTTTAATTAAGTACTTTCACATTTTTTGAACATTTACAACCGAATTATCTCGTTATTTTATTCACATTAAGATTTCTCATTAAATATATTTTATTCAAGGGGTGATATCATCTTATCAAGTGATAAACATGTCATTGTAATTTTCATCCGTATGATTAGAGTTAATTAACATATGTTCAGAAAACAGATTTAGGGCATCAATCCTTATATAAAACTTCTCGCTCGTGTTCACCCACCAATAATGGGAGACCTGGGGCCAGATTCACGAAGGTACTTACGAAGGTTTTTCTTCTTAGCTACGAATGTTTTCCTTCTTAGCGCCTTCGTGGCGGCTACGTTGGTATTCAGGTAGCTACACTAAGTGGAAAAACCTTCATAAGTTTGGTCCGGGATCTAAGTGTGGTTTCGACCACTCGTAGCTTTACGTAAACTGGATATACAGTAACTCAATTTTTCTCTACTACATAACATTGGGATCGATTTTAAGATTTTGGAACATAAACAAAAGATTATAAAAATTGAATCTCGTGAAGAGGAGTCCTTCGTGTTAGTTATATATGCATTCTCTGCTTGAAACTTTGAGTAAATATGTCTTTTATGATATCAGAATTAGTTTTATAATAGCAAGATATTATACCCATAGTTATTAAGTAAATAAACACTGGTGAACATGAAATATGAGAGGTGATGAGCCCTGCCTGATGGGATCATTTACTATCACCAAATGCCCCTGTTCACCTAGTAGTAAGGGTGTATCTTAGCTATACATACCCATTTCTAATTTATTTAGTTTGGTTTTATTTTTAAATTAAATCTGGGTGAGACAAAAAAATAAAAATATGCTGCACAAATGATGTTAGGTAAGGAGAAGGGTTAAAATGTCAAAAACTTTATTCATTGAATACTTAAAGCTATAATTATGACAATATGGACTATTAAAAAAGAAAGAGGGAAGTAGGGGTCCAAGACCTCTTCCTGTTACACAATTTGGCTGTGTGTAACCAAACTAGAAGTGCTCTACAAATCAAGGGACCCAGAATGTGGAATGACCTCCCGAAGCATGTCAAAGGCTGTACCTCTCTCAACCAGTTTAAGAGTAAAACCAAGTACTACCTAATTAACTCCATGTAACCTAACTTACCCCCTAAATGTCAACCCATGTCTTGCTATTTTTTAAACAATGCTGTTCACCAACGTGTACAATTGCTGATTTCTGTTATGTTACCCCCCTTCATTTTTTATTCCTTCTTCAACACAATTTATACCTAATCCCAATTACTATTAAGTTTTAGTCTAAGTGTTTTTTCCCCCACACCTTGCCCGAAATGCTATGAGTATTAGTGGCTTTAGGTATTGTATGTACTAGCTCTGTCTATAAATCCAACATTATGTTTGTAAATCAACTGTATGTACTTTTCCTGAATAAAATTTATTATTATTTATTTTTTAATCAGTAAGTATTAAAAGAAGGCACCAAGCTGGGAAGGCTATGTAGCACCATTGTGTGTAACAATAAACCAAATTTTTTTTAACAAATAATGCACCTGTATGGTAAAACAAATCCTGTCAGCTGTACAAATATTGATGCAGTTATTTAAATAAAAAACCAGCGTTGAATGTAATGAAACGCCATTTTCTGGGTGAGTTCCGGAGGCTCCCCGGAGCTATCCATGGCTGATATGGATACCCTAACTATTTTGCATCAGTCGATGTGGGTGGAGTTCTAGGCCTACCGGGGACCACGAGCCAGAACCTGGCCCCCCTCAGAGAGGCACGGGGAGCAGTGGCCCATAGAAATGCACATGTGATTTGGTGCATTCTATATCTGCCATCGACCGGGACAGGCACCCAGAAAGGTAAGCGCCACAAAACAAACCCCTATTCTGGTTAACAACAAAAATTGACAAATGAGTGGACAGAACTCCCCCAGGAAAACGAACTAACAAGCATGACGTCACACGAGCCGCGCCACATGTCTGCGCAGCTCCCCCCTCCCCGGGAGAGGGAAGGGGGGAGCCCCTTCCCTCTCTGGGCGCCGGCGATCCCCGCCCCAGTTCTGAGGCTGGATATCAAAACCGCGAAAAAACCCGCCGACCGGAGAGCGGGAGGGTGCCGGGGAGCCTCCGGGACTCACCCAGAATATGGCGTTTCATTACATTCAACGCTGGTTTTCTGGGGGGAGCCCCTACGGCTCCCCGGAGCTACTTCACCAAAGACTACCTAAGAAAACAAGGGGACATACCCGGGAGGCGGTCGGTGAACCACTCCTCAACACTAAGTCGAGACAACCACCCAAGGACCCCTCCGGAAAGCAGCAGGCACATCATTCACCAGAAAAAAGGGAGAACAGCCGCAGACGAAGAAACCTATGACCATGACCATAGGAGCCAAAAACCACTGCGCCTGAGAAGAGCGAGAAGCTCTGCCACACGACCCCCAGAGGCCAATGCCAACATAAAAAGAAAGCCGAGGCAAAGCAAACCTGACCCCAAGGAGCCACAACCACCAAGGAGAAGAAAAACAGGAGAGCACCCTGTCCAAAGACCAGGACGACACAGGCAGTGCATAAGCAGGCCGGAGGTGAAACAACGCACGATACAGCCTGAGAAACGGCACAGAAGGAATATCGATACCGAAAGCTAGCAGTAGAAACCAAGGTGCCAGACCCAGGAACGGCCCCAAGTGCCTCTTTATCCTCCGCAAGCCAATCCTATGACAGCCCCAGGAGGGAAAAGAAAACGCAGGACCAAAACGAAAATGCCACAGACGTGCAAGTCCACCGCCACAAGTGCAGCTGACAGGGAAGGAACCCACATAAGGAGCCGCCCCGCACCAACATCCCGCAGAAGGGCAGGAGCGAAAAGACTCATTAAGAGGAGCAAAATCGCCCCCAGGAAAACGAGTAGCACCGAGACAGCGCGAAGAGAAGAGATATGCACAAAAAACAAGAAGGTCAAACACCCAGAAGCTGCCGGGAAGAGGACCCACAAGCCCTAGAAAGGACCGGAGGGAAGCTCAACTGAATGACGACAGACGTACCAGAAAACGGGAAGGAGCAAAACCGTTCCGAACCTTCGAGAACAAAAAGAAGCAAACACAAAGGATGAAGGCACAAAAACCCCGTCGCACCCGAGACCAAAAGTCATGCAGAAACCCCAAGAAGAGGGGGACATGACGGAGAAGGCCCGTCCCGGAAAAAAGGGGCAAAGACCGTAGAAAAGCACCCACCGACAGGACAGAAACAACGAGCACAATGGACAAGGAAACCGAGTCCAGGGAGGGGCCGATGCCCACAAAGCACGTGCGGAGAGGGGGAACGGAAAAACCCCACACCACAAAATTGTAAGCCCCGCCCAGAGGGGTAGAAACACCCCGGCGGGGACCAATGGGGCCTGAGGCCCCTCACGTTAGCCCCCACCCCAGCCCCGGGAACCCACCCTGCAGGCCCCGGTGCCGAGCTGTCCCCTCAAAGCCCTAGCATCAAGAAAAACCCCGGGGCAGCCATGAAAAACACGAAGGAAGGGAGCCCACTAGGCTCTGGAACTTGAACCGAAACCGTAGGATAGGCGAGGGGGGAGACGAAGACCCCAAGCTCGTCCCCAGCCAGCACAATGAGGCGAGGACAAGACAGAGAAACCAAGGAACATGGAAAAACCAGGCTTGGCACAGCAAAACCGGCAAGGAAGGAGAGCCCCAGAGGGAGCACGGAAGGGCCGAACATAATGCCACAACCAACCCCGACACGCAGCTCCAGTACCAAAACCGCAGCAAAACGTCACCACACTCCCCTAGGAAGCGACAGAGAAGATAGATAAACCGTACACGAGTGGCACACAAGGGGACACAGGCGGAAACCGAGCACCCAACTGAGCCGCAGGGACGGTAGAAGAAATGTGTGCAGTGTAACAGGCAAACAAAGGAACACATTAGGCAGCCCAACATGGGCTGACCCCATACACAGCCCCAAGAGCAGAGATGAGAGCGCCCAAGAAGCACAGAATCCGCCCGACAGGCAAACGACAGGGGAGAGGCGGAACCAAAGAGCCAGAACCCAACCTGCAAGCACAAGGAGGCGAACACAAAACCTCCGACACAGGAAAACGTACTACCAAACAGGCACCCCCACCATTGCACTGCGGAACAAGGTGGAGGCGGAGCCCCGAACTCAAGCAAGGTTAGACAGGCATAGGAGAGGGGCAGGAGGAGTACAGGCAGGAGTCGCCTCGGAAGGGCCAAGAGGCCACCCGCACACACCCGTGAACCGAGGAAGGAATCAGGTGGAGAGAACAAGAGCTGCCCAGTATGGGCTAATAGCCCTGCAGTAGGCACCTCGGGTGATACGGTCCACGTTTTCAAGTACGTATGTACACCCATTCCTACTCCCAAAAACAAAAGCAGCGTCAGGACGAAGGAGATGCTAAACCGCACCAACTCACCTGCAGAACATAGGCACTGAAGGGCCATGACGCAAGCCTACGAGTCCGTAGCCGCCGGAGGTGGCCAAGGCGCCCATGCTGGAGAGGAGGAGGGGAGCAGCGAAGGAGGCTCCCCACCCTAGAATGCAGGGAAAAACCTTGTGACTTCCCCACAGTGGCACTCCAGAACACTCCCAAAGCAACGAGGCACGGATAGGATTAAGAAAAGAGCGAGAAGCGAAGTCCCCCGAGAGACATGGATGCAGAACCACACTGTGCACACCGCCCGGAACCAAAACAAACTCCCACGGCGCAT